ACATTATTAAGTAAAAAAAATTAAAAAACTCAAACCATGTGATTGGTTTTAAAATTGTATTTGAATCATGAATTTAGGTAAATGCAAGGGTGAAGAAAAAAAAAAAAAAAAAAAAAAAAAAAAAAAGAAGAGGTATATGTTAATAAAATATAAACTAATTTTTTTTCTTCAATTCCCTTTTCAATTCTAAATTTCTTTTCAAAAAAACTTAAGATTTTGGTCCGACGGTAAATTTTTTATTTACTAAACAACTTAGAAAAAGGAAAAATAATATACCAGCTTACTTTTTAGACTCATTTTTTTAAATCTAATGATGTGTACAAAAAATGATTGACTAATAATTAGGAAAGATATTAAAAAAATATTATCTTAAATATTCAAATTAATTATCACTTAAATTTAAAAATTGTCTCTAACTTTTAAACTTAAATAGCAATATTAAAAAAATAAAATAAAAAACATCCTAACCGTATGAATAAAGTCGAAACCAAACACATGGAAGCTAATTATCGGTCATGGGACCAACCAAAACATTAGTCTCAGTGTAGATGTTTGTTTTTGTTCCAAAAAAAAATAAATAAATAAAAAATTCCGTGTAGATGGATGTTTTATTTTAAATGGATCATTTTCTTATGTTTTGAGCCGATGGAGACCTATGATTTAAAAAAAAAAAAAGAAAACCTATACTATATTATAATATTATTATTTTTTAATTATCTCTAAATTATTTAAATTTGTTTCGTTTAAGTTTTTTTAAAAACTTTAAATGGTCCCTTCATTTGAATTTTTAAAAGTTTTAAATGGCTGACTTTTTATAATATGAAACTTGGAGATCTAAATGTAGAAATTAATGTTGTAATTTTTTTAATTTTTTTAATTAATATATCTATTTACCCCTCTATATTGAAATCTTACGTCTATCTATGTCACCAAGTATCAAAGTCTAACGTTTTATTATTGCATATGTAAGGCTAATAAAAAATAAAAATAAGAAATAAAAATGAATGGAAAATGCCTCATCACGAAAAGCCTAACATGCAATATTTTCTTATTAAAAAATATAAAGAGAAAGACCATTTTTATGTGGTGACCATCAAACCATGGTGTACGAATAGAATGCGACTTCTTTTTTTCAAAAAAAAAAAAAAGAAAATAGAAAGAAAAAAATGAAATGCGACTTGGGAAGACAAAATAAGAAAAATGTGTACACCATTCAGCACACACATTGTGGATTATATCCTACTGGGAAATTTGTGGTGCACAGTTGCTACCTGATTAAAATAAATTAAAGATATTTTAAGAAATCAGAAATCTAAACCCAAAATTTAGATGAATGGTTCAGATGCAAATGCTCGTCATGTAGCTAGGCGCAGACCAACCTAGATTTGTTGCCCAACGGACTTGAATGATTGAGTCTAGCCCAAACTTATTTGTCGGTAAATTCTCATTAACAGTGATTAAAAACTGGTCGCCAAACCTAACATTTTGGCTACTAGTTTTATTTTTGTCAGCAAAAGTTTAATATACAACGACTAAATTAATTTTTGTCATCAAAAGTTTATCTAAATGTGCTCATTATTTGGCGACTAAATGAAGACTTAGTAGCGTGAAATGCCAACTAACACCGACTAAAAATATTTTAGTCGCCAATTACGTTCTATTTAGTGATTAAATTTTTTTTTGGTCTCCAATAAGCATTATATGTTGACTAAAGAAATATAGTAGCTGAAACATGCAATAAACGCCGACTAAATTAATTTTTAGTCGCCCAAAGTACTATTTTTGGCGACTAAAATTTGATCGCCAAATTTAGTCGTCAAATGTGTAGTTTGTTGCAGTGAAACTAATTTTTTTTTCTTCAATTCCCTTTTCAATTCTAAATTTCTTTTCAAAAAAACTTAAGATTTTGGTCCGACGGTAAATTTTTTATTTATTGAACAACTTAGAAAAAGAACAAATAACATACTAGCTTACTTTTTAGACTCATTTTTTAAAATCTAATGATGTGTAAAAAAGATGATTGACTAATAATTAAAAAAGATAGTAAAAAAAAATTATCTTAAATATTCAAAGTAATTACCACTTAAATTTAAAAATTGTCTCTAACTTTTAAACTTAAATAGCAATATTAAAAAGAAAAAAACACCCTAACAGTATGAATAAAGTCGAAAGCTAATTGTCGGTCATGGGACCAACCAAAACATTTACTCTCAGTGTAGATGTTACGTTTTTGTTCCAAAAAATCAAAAAACGTGTAAATGTTTTGTTGCAAATGGATCATTTTCTTATGTTTTGAGCCAGACAGCAAGGGTGGAGATGTACGATTAAAAAAAAAAAAAAACCTATACTATATTATAATATTATTATTTTTTAATTATCTCTAAATTATATAAATTTGTTTCTTTTAAGTTTTTTAAAAACTTTAAATGGTCCCTTCATTTGAATTTTTAAAAGTTTTAAATGGTTGCGTTTTTATAATATGAAACTTGGAGATCTAAATGTAGAAATTAATGTTGTAGTTTTTTTAAAATTTTTCTTTTTAATTAACATATCTGTTTACCCCCTCTATATTGAAATCTTACTTCTATCTATGTCACCAAGTATCAAAGTCTAACATTTTATTGTTGCATACGTAAGGCTAATAAAAAATAAGAAATAAGAAATAAAAATGAATAGAAAATGCCTCCTCATGAAATGCCTAAGACAACATGCAATATTTTCTTATTAAAAAATATAAAGAGAAAGACCATTTTTATGTGGTGACCATCAAACCATGGTGTACGAATAGAATGCGACTTCTTTTCTTCAAAAAAAAATAGAAAAAAAGAAAAAAATAGAATGCGGCTTGGGAAGACAAAATAAGAAAAATATGTACACCATTCGGCCACACACATTGTGGATTATATCTTATTGGAAAATTTGTGGTGCACAGTTGCTACCTGATTAAAATAAATTAAAGATATTTAAAGAAATCAGAAGTCTAAACCCAAAATTTAGATGAATGGTTCAGATGCAGAATGCTTGTCATGTAGCTAGGCCCAGACCAACCCAGATCTGTTGCCCAATGGACTTGAACGATTGAGTCTAGCCCAAACTTAACTGGCAAGATCAGTTTCAATTTCAGCTTTTATGGACTTGCACTATTAATATGAATTTTTGAAACACTTCAGGAATCAGATACAATGACGGATACTACCAATTTACTTGTGCCAGCGTTCTTTTCAAATGAACCGGTATATCATCTCCAACCTCAGTGCTCTGCAAATTCTACAACTTCTGTTTCCATCTAGATTTCTTCTTTTCCAGTGTCTCAGGGTATTATTCATATCAATAAGATCTCCAACTTTATTACTGTGATCAACATATCTGATGATCTCATCTGTTTAACATCACATCACATGGACACTGGACAAATTTAATATAAATCAGTGACAGTGATGCTGCACATTCAGAGACAGGGCCGGCCCTGGGGCATAAGCCACAAGGCCATGGTCTAGGGTCCCTTAAAATAGATTTTATAAAGGGGCCTCCTATTATAATTTAGTGTAATATATTAGGTATGTTTTAAATCTAAAAAAATTAAAAAAGGCCCAAACTAACTTAAAATAAATTGACCCATTAAAAAATTGAAAGGCCATTCAAAAAAATTAGCATTGTTATCCATTGAAAATAGATCCAAAAAAGGGGTGTCGCTTATTATAGTTTAGTCTAATAGATTAAGTATATTTTAAGTCCAAAAAAAATTAAAGAAGACCCAAATTAATTTAAAATAAATTGATCCATTAAAAAATTGAAAGGCCCGTTTAAAATAATTAGCATTGTCATTCATTGAAAATGATTTTGCAAAAAAATTAGATTATGCAAGTATGATTGATTTATTTGCTTCTAAAAATACAAGAAGAGTGAAGATTAAGCGATACTTATTAGTTATTGTAATGTAATGTTAAGTATTTTTTGTAATTTTGACACAAATCTTTTGTCCTTTACTTTCAATTTTTTTTTTCATTCAATGAAAAAAAAATGTGAAGGGCCTCCAAAATTTATTAGTTGATTATCGGTTTTGGGCTCCGAAAATCTCAGGGTCGGGCCTGTTCAGAGAACATAGATCAATGACTCAGTTAACTTACAAATAGTAGGGATAAAAGCTTCTATTTTGTGGTCCTTATGTTGAGGTTCTATTCATGGGTTGGGCCCTCTAGGAAACACACAAATTAAAGATTGATGTTGAACAGAAAAATGCACAAAAACCACTATATGTTGATAACCGAGAACTACACATACTTGTTTGACATCTGGACTATGTCAGTATTCGCTTGTTTAGTAAAATTTATCTAATTGATGACCCCTAAGACCATCTCCAACGGTTCACCAAACTTGATATCAAATTTAAATTTTGATGAAAAAGTTACTGTTTGGTGCTCCAACGGTTGCACCAAATCGATATCAAAATGAGATTTCACCAAACGATTCATTAAACTGAGGACAGGCTTCGCATTTCACCAAAACACTGTACATGACCGTTGGAGGGAGACGAACCGATCGACCAGTTGGTTGACCGGCCGGTTGACCAACTAGTTGTCCATGAAAAGGTTCAAACAGTTCAACATTTGTGGTTCAAACAATTCAAAAAAAAAAAATTTGGCTTACCGGTCGACCAACCGGTTGTCCCGGAAAGAGTTCAAACAGTTCAACATTTCTGGTTCAAACAATTCAAAAAAAAAAAAAATTTCCCTCACCGGTCGACCAACCGGTTGTCCCAGGACAGATTTGGTGAAAGGTGAACCGTTGGAGCATCTGGTACCAAATTGGGAAAATGGTGATTTTTTTACTCAGATTTGGTGAAAAGTTTGGTGAACCGTTGGAGATGCTCTAACTACCCCCCGTCTCTCTCTCTCTCTCTCTCTCTCTGTGGTATAGGTATGTAATATTATTTGAGTAGAATCTTTATATTTTTGTTTATTTACTTTTTCTTCTCTTTCCTTCTTGAATCTAGAGGTTAAATGTGTTCAAGGTCTACATTTGTGGCGCAGTAGTTCTTCTGTAATATTATTTGGTTGGTTTTCATATATAAATCTGTGCTGTTAAGCGTTCTCTTGCTTTTGTTTGCAGATACGACAATGCTAATGTGTGGAAGATCTTTGCAGATTTGTTCGATTATTTTCCTCTTATAGCACTGGTTAGTATGGCTTTTAACATATGTATCAATCGTCTGTGATTCTTGAATTTAAGAGGAAAGAAAAGCAATTAAATTACATTTCTATGCTGCTTGTCATGTTTAGAAAAGGCATTTTTTGCCTTATCCCCAAACCAAAATTGTATCCTTACTACAACTATTTGCATTGTCTGCACTGTGATGACTGTTGACTATGCTACAATTGTATCTGTTTTCCTGATTGTTTGTAAATATATCATATATCATTTCTAACCTTACACATAGATTTACTTATATACCATGCAACAAAAAGCAATAATGCAGCCCGTCTTGCTTGCTTTAGTAGTTTTGCTCGTGTATTCTTATTTCAAGGTTTGCATCCTAGGATCAAGTTGTACTCTGGTTTTCTAATTTCATTCTTAGAGTTGTTCTCTTGGACTTCCAAAAGTCAGTCTGAAGATTGAATTAGCTGCATGTAAATGAGTTTTGAGTTTGTAATTTCTCTATGACTTGCTATCTAATTGAGGTTTCATTGCACTCCCAATTTGTTTCCATTGACTGTGTACCTCATTTTTTCGATGGTCTTAGTAGACAATCAAAGTGTTCTGAATCATATGCTGCGTTCGTATATATTAAAATGGCCTAAAAACAAAGTAATGTGATTAATGTTTTAATTCTTGCCATTCATGATATCATTTTTCATTATATTTTTTAGGGACTTTGGTGTTAATTCATGATGTTTTCTAAATTTTAGGTTGAATCTGAAATCTTTTGTCTCCATGGTGGATTATCCCCCTCCATTGAAACCCTTGATAACATATGTAATTTCGACCGTGTTCAAGAAGTTCCTCATGAGAGGCCAATGTGTGATCTTTTATGGTCCAACCATGATGATCGTTCTGGTTGGGGTATCTCTCCTAGGGGTGCTGGATATACTTTTGGCCAAGTATCTTAATTCTTCCTTCTTGGTGTATCTTTCTTCCAGTTCCAGAAAAAATAAAAAAAAATAAGAAACTTTATTTTCTAACCACTTGCATGGTTCTTGCAGGACATATCAGAGCAGTTCAACCATACCAATAATTTAAAGCTAATTGCTAGAGCACACCAACTGTAGAGCCATTCGGTATAACAAGTTTAGCTTTGTTCTCGATATGTATGGAAGCTGACTAGAGATCTCTTTGATCTTAGTCAAATATTCCTCCATTGTAGCACCTCTTTTTGTGATTGATTGTAATTGATTTTGCAGGGGATGAATATGAGAATGAGATAAAGAAGTGTATCTCTTCTCGAGAGCACTCCATATTTGCAAGCAGTGTTGATTATGAAGTACTAAAGAAAATACAGAAGGTGACAGTGTTGCAGTGATGAAACTCAGAAGATGACCATCCATTATCTTTCATTTTAGAAATTCAGGATTTGGCACAGTTGTTCCAAAGGAATCAAGAATATCTAATACAGAACAAGGTACCATTCCAGTAACAAATCAAGAAGCTCAGCTGCTCGAAGAACATTTTGAAGCTGGCTTTTCCCGATCAAAAAATTTGTGGAATCTAGCTTAACAGTGACTAATGAATTGAAATTGGTAAGAAGAAGACTTAGATTTGATGGTATATGAAACAATAGTTTGAGAGAGAGAGAGAGAGAGAGAGAGAGAGCAACTGAATAGCTCTGTATTAATCTGTAATGTTGTGTGTTTGTTTACAAAGAGAATGAGCTCTCTTTATAGAGAGAAGAGGGATACAATGGAGCACCGAAAACATAAAGGTTACATTAAACAATATAAGCACTAATGCTAAAGCTGAACGTGTGGTAGTGGGTGTTTGCCTTTACAGATAATTTACAGCTACAATGTACTATCTAATATCTAATGTATATGATATATTAACAGCCCCCCGCAAACTCAAGGAGGGTAGGCATCGACCAAGTTAAGTTTGGAAACAAGATCACGGAAGCGCCCAGGAGGATGAGCCTTGGTGAAAATATCAGCAGGTTGATCGACAGAAGCAATAGGGAGAAGATGAACAGTACCACGTGTAACATGCTGTCGAATGAAATGACAATCAATCTCAATATGCTTGGTGCGATCATGAAAAATATCATTGTGAGCAATCTGAATGGCACTCTGATTGTCACAATAAAGAGAGGTAGCGCCAGAAGAGGAAACACCCATATCAGTGAAGAGCCAGCGAAGCCAGAGAAGTTCCTGAGTAGTATCAGCAAGAGCTCGGTATTCAGCTCCGGTGCTAGAACGGACAATGAGGGATTGTTTCTTGCTACGCCAAGTAATAAGAGAATCCCCTAAGAAGAAACAGAATCCCGTGGTGGAGCGTCGATCCGTAGGATCCCCAGCCCAATCAGCATCAGAAAAGGCACGCAGGTTAAGAGAGAAGGAAGCAGAATAGTGAAGGCCATGGAATAGAGTGCCTTTAAGGTATCGAAGGATGTGGAGTAGAGCAGTATAGTGGGGAGTGCGAGGAGCCGACATGTACTGACTAACAATGTGAACAACATTGGCAATGTCAAGACGAGTCACTGTGAGATAGACAAGACTACCGACGAGCTGGCGATAAAGAGTAGCATCATTGAGGAGATCCCCATCGAGAGGAGTGAGACGAATCTAAGGATCAACTGGAGTAGAGGTAGTTTTGCAATCGGTAAGACCAGCACGAGCCAGAAGATTTGATGCATATTTGGCCTGAGATAAATAAGAACCAGTTGAATCATGAGAGACTTCAAGGCCTAAAAAGTAGTTAAGAGTACCAAGGTCCTTCATCTCAAACTGACGGTGGAGAAAGCGTTTGAGGTGGAGAATACCAGCTGCATCATTACTAGTGATAATCATATCATCTACATATAGAAGGAGAAGAGTGGTACCATGAGGAGTAGTCCGTATAAAACGAGCAGAGTCATAGGAGCTAGAGGTGAACCCGAAGTCATGAATGGTAGAACTGAACTTAGCAATCCAAGCGCGGGGCGCTTGCTTGAGGCCATAGAGGGCACGCTGTAGTTTGCAAACCTTATGAGGTGGAAAAGTGGACCCAGGTGGAGGTTGCATGTAGACCTCCTCAAGAAGATTACCATTGAGGAAAGCATTTTTGACATCTATCTGAAAAAGCTCCCAGTGGCGAGCAGTAGCAACAGCAAGTAAACTACGAACAGAGGTAAGCCGAACAACAGGGGAGGAGGTTTCCTCATAATCAATCCCATGTTCCTGGTTGAAACCCTTGGCAACGAGACGAGCTTTGTAGCATTCAATAAAGCCATCAGAATGAGTCTTGATTTTGTAAACCCACTTGCAACCAATAGCAGTTTTGCTAGGAGGAAGATCAACAAGATCCCAAGTATGAGTTTTGTCCAAAGCTTGGAGTTCATCAGTCATAGCTTGCTGCCAAAGAGGATTAGTACAAGCCTCACAATAGGAGGTAGGTTCATAAGTAGAAAAGGCAGCAGACCCAACAATATAATCACAAAGATGGATAGGAGGTTGAGTTACCCGGTGTGGTTGACCTGTAGGAGGATCGGTAGGAAGAAGAACCGGTAGAGAAAGTGGTGGTGCAATGAGAGGTGGACCGTTAGGGAGAGCAGTCTGGTCGGGAGCAAGAGTGAGCAATGGCTTCTCAATGATGGAGGAACCTGTATCAAAATCATCAGAGAAGAGATCTATGGAAGGATTAGTAAACAGGACATTAGTGGAAAGTGCGGGTAAGTGAAAGGAGGATAGGGAGGAAAACATTTTGTGCTCCCAAAAAATGACATGGCGGGAGATACGAAGACGTTTAGAGAGAGGGTCCCAACAGCGAAAGCCATTATGTTCAATTCCATACCTAAGAAAGCAACAAAGACGAGAACGTGGTTCAAGCTTGGTGTGTTCATGAGATTGAAGTAGAACAAAGCAAGCAAAGCCAAAAGCCCGAAGATTAGTATATGGAGGAGGAGTGCCATGCAAACGTTCAAAGGGAGTTTGATTATGGATGACAGGGATAGGAGCACAATTGAAAGTGTAGACAGCAGTGAGGGTAGCTTCCCCTCAAAAGTTTTCAGGGCAAAAAGAAGAGAGAAGGAGAGCGCGAGTAGTGTCAAGGATATGCCTATGTTTCCGTTCAGCACGGCCATTTTGCTGGGACGTGCCAGCACAGGAATGATGAGGCAGTGTACCATGACTCTGAAGAAAAGAAAGGAAATCTGAATCCTGATATTCCATAGCATTGTTAAAGCGAAAAAGTTTGATGGTTTTGGAAAATTGGGTGTGGATCATTTGGGCAAATTTATAATAACGGGTTTTGAGTTCAGACTGAGTTTTCATGAGAAAAATCCAAGTAAACGGTGAAAAATCATCAATAAAAACAACAAAATAACGAGATCCTCCCATAGTAGTAGTAGGGGGAGGGGCCCCAAATATCCGAATGTATAAGATCAAAAGGTGCACAGGAAACAGAAGTACTTTTATTGAATGATAAAGCAGGTTGTTTGGCAAGTTGACAGGGTATACAATCGATAGTATCTGGAAGTACATGACCCAATTGTCCACTAGAAACCAAAGACTTTAAGCGATTAACAGAAATATGCCCTAAGCGACAATGCCAAAGATGAAAAGGAGATAATGAGGAAGCAGATGCAGGAGCAGCGATCTGAGGAGAGTCAGGAACATGAAGGTGAATGAGCTCATAGAGACGTCCGTGCTTACGGCCGATCCCAATAGTCTGCCCCGTCTGAGGGTCCTGCACCAAACAATGAGTAGCAGAAAATGTGACAGTTAGACCAAGTTCACATAATTGACCAATAGAAATAAGGTTTAAAGTGAGAGCAGGGATAAAGAAGAAGTGGAAACAATACCAATATGACGGACAGTCATGAGAGAACCATCAGCAGTTTGAATTGAGGGAATATGAGGAGATGAAGAGATAAAAGAAAATATAATAGAACTGGAGGTCATATGATTACAACAGGCAGAGTCAAAATACCAAGAAGAGTTACCTGGAATCACAGACAAAGCAGTAGAAAGAGGTGTACCGGAAGGGGAGAGAAGGTGTTTGAACATGGCCTCTACATCCGTTGGAGAAAAGAGAGGAGTAGACGGAGCAGGAGACTCAGAAAAACCCTCAGAGGTAGCAGCAGCAGTGTGATGAGACTGATTCCCGGAACGATGAAAGCTCTCCCGAGAAGAACCACCGCGAGAAGAGTGGCTGTTGGAGGATGAGCGGGAGGGATTGCGAAAACAATCATGTTGCAGATGACCAGGACTAAGTTTGTTGCAGTATCGGCAGGTTCTGACGGGGCAATTGACCAGGAGATGTGTTGAAGAAAGGCCCCGATTCTGACAATAGAGGCAGGCAGTGGTCCGCTGGGTAAATGATGGCCGGTACGGAGGAGTGGCAAGAACAGAGTCCACATAATGAGTTTGGAGAGTACCAAGACGAGTCTCCTCTGATAGCAGCTCAGAAATAGCTTGTTCCAGAGTGGGCAAATGATGGCGATGAAGAAAAGAGGCACGTACGGGCTCAAAAGATGAAGTGAGAGCTATGAGAAAGTGCACCAACCTTTGCTGATTACGATGGGCAGTAAATAAGACAACATCTTCACGGTGAGGCCAAGTCAGTTCGGAAAGAGCAAGCTGGTCCTAAACGGAGTACATTTGAGAAAGGAAGTCATTGATGGACTGACTAGAGTCTTGGCGCATCCGATGAAGTTGGCTCTGAAGTTGATATTGATGAGCAAGACCAGTAGTCTGGTATCGTTCTTTCAAAAAATCCCATATGTCTTTTGCAGGAGTAGTGAGAGAGTCAAGCTGAAAGCGACCAAACTGAAGACTGATAGAGGTAACAGAGGTAGTTCAAAACCAGGTAATGATTTGGTAATTTTTACTATCCCATTCCTCAAGTCGGTCTTCATATGTAGTAGGAGCAGTGGAAACAGTGGTTTCAGCAGTGTCTTTCACTGGTTGGGTCACATCCCCGGTGATAATTCGCCAGAGCTTCTTTTCTTTGAGGAAGGAAGACATGGCTTGGGCCCACAGAACATAGTTCGAACCATTCAAAATAACGGAAATGGGATGGGAGGCATCGTGACGATCCATAATAAAGGTGGTTAAAGCAATAGGAATAGACCTGTAGGAGCAAAATTAGGTAACACAGAGTGTACCAGTGAGTCCGGAAGGTCGAAAATAACAAGGAAATGTATGCTGTGCAGAGATGATGTTAGCAATGATGTCAGCGGCGCATGTTAGCAGAGTACAGGAAGGAGCACGTTAGCAAGAAGGCGGCGGCGCACGGTAGCGGACTGGCGCAGGCGCGGCGCACGGTAGCTATTTTGGCACACGCGAGTGCACACTAGTGAAGCGGCGCACGAAAGGCGTACAGTAGCAGGCGCGGCGCACGGGAGCGGCAGGGCTGACGTCAGCCGCGGACGTGTGGGCGCGTGGCGAATGTGAGCAACAACAGATGGCGCGTGTAGGCGCGTGTGGGCGCGTGGAAAGGTTTCTGAGGACGGGTTTGGTGCCGTTGGAATCATAAGGAAATTCCTAGCAGTTTGATGTAGCGCCACTATGTACAGGACTAAACACCAAAATCAAAAATTGCCAGAAATGTAACACTGGGCTCTGATACCATGAAACAATAATTTGAGAGAGTGAGAGAGAGAGAGCAACTGAATAGCTCTGTATTAATCTGTAATGTTGTGTGTTTGTTTACAAAGAGAATGAGCTCTCTTTATAGAGAGAAGAGGGATACAATGGAGCACCGAAAGCATAAAGGTTACATTAAACAATATAAGCACTAATGCTAAAGCTGAACGTGTGGTAGTGGGTGTTTGCCTTTACAAATAAGTTACAGCTACAATGTACTATCTAATATCTAATGTATATGATATATTAACAGTATAGATTGAGAAATTGACGAAGAAGATGAACACCATTATTAGACCTTGCTCGTAGGTGCTTGAAAAGCTCTGATACCATAACAGAAATTGAAAAAGCTTTGTTTTCCAATCTATTTGATTAAACTGTGTTTACACTTCTGGCTTTCCAAACTACTTTACAGTCATACTCCTATCTTTCTCATATCTATACAGCTCTCTCTCACACCCTTGTTGATTCAGAACTCTTGGCTTCAATTGTATAATTGAACATATTTTCTGCTGTGGAGTGGAACAGATTTTCTGCTGTGGCTGCTATGACTTTTGCTGTGGCTGCTGTGGCTTAGGTAGCTTATCAGTGACTTATTTAAAAGAAGTATAAATTGTTTGAGGGTGAGATTTGTCGACTGATTTTGCATTTGTTTGTTACAAGAGCAAAAGGCAGTTACTACATTTAGTGCACCTAATTATTGTTATCGATGCGGCAACATGGCATCTATCCTGGAAGTTGATGACTGCAAGGGCCACACTTTTATTCAGGTCTCTCTCTCACTCTCACACGCACGCACACACACACAGGCACTTTTAACACAGGCTATATTATAATTAGTATTAGGATAATGGAAGAAATCCAGCTTTAGTGTGATTTTTTTTATCGTATTTTTTGTGTTGTCTCACTTGAAACTACAGTGGCCACCAAAGCTCACGAAGTACATGTCTGTTGTTGGTTGCAGTTTGAGCCAGTACCCAAGAGGGGAGAGCCGGATGTAACACGGAGAACACCAGATTATTTCCTATAAATGCAACACTCCAATTATTGCTAAATCTCAAGCGGCAAGGTGTGTCTGCTAGCTATTTTTTCAAGTTGGGAGCTATTTTTTCCAAATTAAAGAGCCTATAATTTTGGGATGATAGTGAAAGGGTGTTGGAAAGAATGCAAAATCAGCATATAAAGGCTTCCTTTGACTCTCAGTTAATTGGTAAAGAAGGCTGAAGATTTGGTGAGACAAACATGAGAACTAACTTTTACAATTCTTACATTTTACGTACTTGAAAACATCAAGTAGCAAAATGTAAAGCAGTGCTGCATTGATTGACAAACATGAGAATTAACTTTCACAATTCATACATGTACAGGCCTCAAATGCCTATATGAGTTTGCCAAAGAATGCCCAAGCCTGAGACCCAAATCAAGATAGATCTTGCTTCTGTCCTTGGACCACTCTTCTTGACATGGGTCATTCTTCAATTATTTCCTATGAGTATTTTTTTTTTTCCCCTTCTTTTTCACCAACAGTGGTGTTTGTTTGAATTAGAGTATTTGAAGCATGCATGTTGTGTTTTATAGCCAATGAAATGATTGCATCTGATATTTGTTGGTCTATTATTTAGGAAGATGTTATTTGTTTCATTCTTATATATGGTAATAACATTCAATTCTTTTCCCTATTTATGCAGGTCATATTGACATTTTTGGTTTACAAGAAGCAACAAAAGCTAAGAATCATGATGAAAATGCATTAATTAATTAATTAATTAATTAATCTCTCTGACTTCTGTTTGGAATTTAGGCGTGGTGGGATTCATTACATGATACAAGTGATGGATACATTTATGGATTTAAAGTTAATTTTGATAGGTTCTATATAAATAAAAAAATTTATCCATGCATTAATTAATTAATTATAGACATGACTAATATTGTCATCATATTGAGTACTAAATACTTAAAGTTGCCAATTATTTGCACAGGTTACTTTGTGGTCTTCGTTTTTCATGAATTCAGGTATCCAGTCACTTTTGATTTGGATTTGCTGACTTCACTTGAGATACAGAGCTTTCATGGTAGTAATCTTAGGTATGGTTGTTTGATTTGGAGTTGTTTTATATAAGTCCTTTCTACGATACTTATCTCATTCCTATTGATTGATTTACTTGTGGGGAATCAGATATTTTTCCTAACACCTCATGTAGCATTGCACACCCAAAGGCGCATCCCCTCTCTCTTGCTCAACCTTCAAAATTTAGAGAAAAAATCGTTAGATGTCCACGATCCAAACACACTTTTAGTTTAACAATATTTGGATCAAAGAAATAGTCCTATTGTATTTCGCTAGGGATCTTTTGTCCAAATCTCTTATGCCCTCTTGCTTCTCTCTACTATATAACAAGGTTAGAGAGATCAATTATGTGATACAAAGATTAGTTGAGACGGATGATATAAAAAGACGTTGACAGAAGATCTGGACTCATATTTGAGTTAGACATATTAAAAAATGTAACTGTATCACTTGTAGCATAATAGTATCGAGAATAAAAATCGATACATATTGGAAATTGGGTATCATATGGTAGCAAAATTTTTAAAATCATTGACAAAAAATAATTTTATAATAGTCGATCTGGTTATATCGATTATGAATATTAGCTGATATTTAAAAATCATTATTTGACCTCAATATATTGTGGGGGTACCTTATGAGTTTGGATGTCATCAACAAGCCTAGCAATTAGTGCACAAGACTCCACAATTTTGGGAACATTAAGCACCCAATCAAAGGCTTCCTCAATTCACTACTACAAAAATAGATAAAGATCACACTTTTTTTTGTGTGATATATATTATTTAATCACACCTTTTAAATTTTATTAAAGTGTGATCTTTGAGAGTGTGATTAAAAAGGGTCATTTTTAACCACACCTTTTAAGTGTGATTAACAACATTTAGATCACACCTTTTAAGTGTAATTAAAAATATTTAGATCATGCTTTTTAATTATGATTAATAATATTTAGATCACACATTTTAAGTGTGATTAAAAATATTTAGATCACACCTTTTAAGTGTGATTAATAACATTTAGATCAAAAAATATATATATTACACACACTAGCTTCTCATTTGCTCTTATGGAGATTCTTGAACCATCAACCTCCCACACCATAAATTTTATACAGGACACTTTTTCCACTATGCCTCTATAACACCATATAATTATATATGCAACATATGTTATTTATATAGTATGTAGACCCGTATTAATATAAAAGTATATATATATAGATAATTATTTTTTATTGAACATAATTTATGTAAAAATAAATTATTTACTAGAAAAAAAAAAAGAGACCACTTTTGACGACTAAACATAATTTTAGTTGTCAATTCTATCCTTTTGGCTACTAATTATTTTTTAGTCGTTAAAAAATTTAATTCCCGGGCAAAAATTACCACTTTTGGCAACTAAACTTCTTTTTAGTCGCCAAAAAGTCTCATTTTTTGCTACTAAACATCTTTTTAATCACCCAATGCCGCAGTTTTGGCTACTAAATTTTTTTTAGTCGCCAAAAAATCTCACTTTTGGCTACTAAAATTTTTTTAGTCGGTAAAAGCCTCACTTTTGGCGACCAAACATCTTTTTAGTCACCCAATATCTCACTTTGGGCTACCAATTTTTTTAGTCGCCAAAAAGCCTTACTTTTGGCTACTAAAATTTTTTTAGTCGGTAAAAGCCATATATGGGCAACCAAACAGATTTTTAGTTGCCAAAACCTATACTTTTGGCTATTAAATTTTTTTAACCGCCAAAAATCTTTACTTTTGGCTACTAATGCTTTTTTAATTGCCAAAACCTATACTTTCAGCGACCAAATGTGCTTTTTTAGTCGTCAACGATGCTTTTTCTTGTAGTGGAGTGTGATTATATATATATATATATATATATATATATATATATATATATATATATAATTATTAGAGAAAAAATCGTTAGATGTCCACGATCCAAACACACTTTTAGTTTAACAATATTTGGATCAAAAGAAATAGTCCTATTGTATTTCGCTAGGGATCTTTTGTCCAAATCTCTTATGCCCTCTTGCTTCTCTCTACTATATAACAAGGTTAGAGAGATCAATTATGTGATACAAAGATTAGTTGAGACGGATGATATAAAAAGACGTTGACAGAAGATCTGGACTCATATTTGAGTTAGACATATTAAAAAATGTAACTGTATCACTTGTAGCATAATAGTATCGAGAATAAAAATCGATACATATTGGAAATTGGGTATCATATGGTAGCAAAATTTTTAAAATCATTGACAAAAAATAATTTTATAATAGTCGATCTGGTTATATCGATTATGAATATTAGCTGATATTTAAAAATCATTATTTGACCTCAATATATTGTGGGGGTACCTTATGAGTTTGGATGTCATCAACAAGCCTAGCAATTAGTGCACAAGACTCCACAATTTTGGGAACATTAAGCACCCAATCAAAGGCTTCCTTAGTTGCAGTCTTTCCAATGCCAACAAGCGATTGAACAGCCAGCATAGGATAACCACTGCTCATCACAGAAATGCTCAAGTACTCCTCAAATGTAGGCACATACTTGGTGTTAAACCAGTTTGCTTCCACAAAGTAGGCTCCAACTAGACCTTTCATCTGAAGAAAACCACACAAATATAAGTGTTAGATAGCTATTATGCTGAAAAACTAAGTTAAAGAAAGTCTTGTTTGGATGAGAGAAAATTTTAATATGATATATAATATAATATATTTATGTCAAAGATTAAGTATGTACTCAATTTCTTTCCTATCAAATATATTAATGTATACTAATTGGCCGTTGTTGTTGTTTGTATATATATAGTATGATATGTTGAGTCATGGATCTTTCAATTTTTTTAAAAAAAAAAAAAACCATCAATTAATATTATAATATAAATAATAAAATTGTTTATGTTTCCAACAGTTTAAAATTTTAGATGAATTAATGGTTAATTGTTTAATATAATATTAGACAATAACAATTTAAGTTTTTAGATGAATGAGTAGTTAATAATTTAATATATATTTATTTATAAAAAGCCACTGTCATGTCATCTTGTACAAAATTTTAGAAAAATATAGTATTTTCCTTTGGGAATTAATAATAAACAGTAGTGAATATTTTATTAATATTCTATCTTGTGTCTTTTTTAGAAGATAAATGGCATATAATATTTTAATAATAGTTAGAATCCCTTAATATTTTTTTAAAAGAAAATTCGACACAGAAAAATTGCCCCTCAACACAGAGAAATTTTGAATTTTTTTGATTTCACAAAGAAATTTCAAAGTTTCTCTAGAATGATTACATAGAAATTTCATTGAAGGACCTTAGCTATTAAAAAAAAGGAAAAAGATTGAGAGCTCTAAATATAGTGCTCTAGAAGGGCTCTAATGAGTTAACATCCACCCATGATGTGATGTTTGTGCCTTTCTTTTTTTGTTTTTTTTTTTTTTTTTTTTTTGCTTTGACACATCACTAGAGCTCAAATTAGAGCTCCAGATTTAGAGCTCTGCATCATTTCCCTTTATATAAATATATATATATATATATATTGACAAATTTCATTTATTTCTATGTGGTATAAAGGCTATTATTATTATTATTATTATTTCATCTGAAAACACCTACTTAATTTTAGGGGTAGTTACGTATAAGTCCTAATAAGTGGACTTATTATCTAATAGGTCCTATGGAAAAAATTTATCATAAAAAAAGTCACTAATTGTAAATTTTAGTGACAATTTATAAAAATCATAACAAAAAAAAATCACTAATTGTTAATTTTTAGCGACATATACAAAAAATTATCACAAAAAAATTATTTTTAACGACATTTTTACCAAGACTTATTTTCAATAGGACTTGATGAAAATTAAGTCCAACTATTAAGACCTATTGATAGTTTACCTTTAATTTTTATGTGAGTTGTGTAACAAAATGCTCTTTTAATTGCTAAATCAATTTTTATTTTTCTCTCATTTTTTGCTGCTATTTTCTTCTATGGTAAACTACACTTTTAACTCTTCTAATTTTATTTAAATTTTATTTTAATTCTTATTATTTTAAATTAAATAATTTAATCTCTATATTTTTAAGTTCAATTTTAGTTTGATCATTTCGTTATTTGAACCTAAAGGTTTTGAATCTAAAGTTATAGAGGGAGCACACCTCTAAATTCTAGGCCTGAAACCGACCATTGGTGGTGTTAAAATGAGAGCTAATTGAGAGCACTAAAAACAAAAGCACTAACGGCTCTAATAAATTGGAAATGCAAAAAAATAAAAACAAAAAAAAAAAAAACAACCATCAAATCATTTGGGGGGAGGGGGAGCTCATTAAAGCTCTCCCCCATAGCTCCCTATTTAGGGTTCGTTTGGGAAGTTATGGTTTGGACTTTTTTGATTATTTTAGCCACAAAAAATAAAATAGGCTATTTTAATCATAACAAACAAAACATCACATCCAATCCATAATCATTACATTCTTCTCTCACAAAAAAATTTAAAAAAGTCAAAAAGTCAAAAAGCCCTTCCCAAACCAAGCTTTTAAGCCTAAGTTAAAATAGTCGAAAAAACCAAAAAGCCAACCCACTTCCCAAACGGAGGCTATTCTCAAGTATTTCACAGTTAAAATTTAGGATTGACATGAAATTAGAAATGCAAATGACACTATAAAAACTTAAGGATTAGAGATTAAAATTTAGGGACAAAATTATTTTTTAAGGGCCAAATATTTTTGTTGCGAAAAGTGTCGTCATTATATTTTTTACAACGAAAATTAGACATTAGTGATAAATTATTATCATTTTGGGATCAAATTTTTTTGTCTCAAAAAATAAACCATCTTGAGACCAAATTATTTTGTCTCAAAAAGTCTATTTATTAGTGACATTTTTAAAATTTTGTCACTAAAAGCCTTATTTTTGACTTTTCAGAACGACGTTTTAGCGACTATCCTTACGACGATAGAAATTAATCCCTAAATGTCTTTTGTAATAAAATTTTCACTGTTAGAGATTAAAAGATTTAGTCTCTAAAACTCTTATATGTTGTAGTGTGAGATGACGATACGTGTTGTAATTTTTTTTACCTTATAAGGGAGATAGACGATGACTTCAAATGCTACAAATTTAAAATTTTATGATTTTATTTGAAAAGATTAAAAATTTAAAGTTTAATTTGTTAGAAGAGTTAAATCTTGGGAGTTTTTTTTAATAATTTTTTCAAAAAATTATTTTGGAAAACATGTGCTTTTTTTCAAAATGTTTGGTATAAATAAAAATAATTCAAAAAAATTAATTTTCTAGAAGTGAAAGAGAGACGTTTTAACCTTTTTTTCAATATTGATTTTTATTATTTTTTTTAAATACAATTTGCCATGCATTCATGTGCTCTTTTTTTTTTTTTAAGAATGTTTGGTATAATTTAAATATTTTTTTTAAAAAAATGATTATCTAGAAGTGAAAGAGAGACTTTTTAACTTTTTTTTATTATCAATTTTTAATTTTTAAAAAAAATACGATTTGCCATGCGTGCAACGCATAGTGTAATTCACATGTTGGACTAAGGTTTAATTGAACATACTTTCCATTCAACCAACTTTTCTATTGGACAATATTTTCATTCAACTCCAACCTTCTTGGAAAACAAACTCACCTAATATAAAACGTGATATAGTGGTTGTTTGGGAAGTGCTAAATAAATATTATATTTTTAATTTTTTTATAAAAAAAATATACAAAAAAATAAAGAGATGATATGATTCAAAAAAAAATATTAAAAAAAATTACACTTTTTTGTGCTAGCCAAACAACCCTATAATATATAAAGGTCAAAAAAATAATAAATAAATAAATTACTGACGAACTTGACTGAGGAGCATTCTTCACTAATGTTCTTGTTTACTTAGGTAAAAAATATTTTTGAGAGAAAATATTGGTGGTAGTGATGGAATGAATGTAGAAGTGGAAGTGGTGGCATGGTGGGCGATGGCGGCGGTGATAGCGACGGTGATGGTGGTGGTGGCCGTGGTGATAGTGATAGTAGGTGTGGTGTGGAGATGAGAGTGGTGCTAGTGGTGTGATGACATTAGTAATATTTTAGTCCGAAAATTATTTTTTACCTTTTAAAAGTTAAAAATATTTTGTCTAAATAGGCTTATTTTTATTAATAATGAAAAATATTTTTCGTTAACTTTTATTTTTTATTGTACCAAATATCAAAAAATATAAAAATATATATTTTTCAACCAAAAAAACGAAGCGTAAAAATAATAAGATTTGTTCTGCTATGAAAAAAAAAATTTAATTTTTTAAAATGTGACATCTAATATTTGTTAGAGATTCATACTCCACATTGCGGATCTTTCCCAAATTTTATTTAGGAAAAATTAGTAAAACATCTCTTTAATTTTGAATAGTAGGAAATGTTCAATATATTTTTTTTATTAGCTAAGGTGCTTCAATAAAATTTCTCTGTGATCATACAAAAGAAATTTTTGAAATTTCTTTGTAAAATCAAAGAAATTTTGTCTGTGTCAGGGGGTAATTTTTTTGTGTCGAATTTTCTTTATGAAAATGTTGAGAGATCTCAAATACTATAAAATATTATATGTCTTTTATCTTATAAAAAAGACGCAAGGTAAAATATTAATGAAATATTCACTATTATTTTTTATTAATTCCCAAAGGAAAATACTATACTTTTCTAAAATTTTATACAAGATGACATGATAGTGACTTTTTATAAATAAATATGTATTAAATTATTAACCACTCATTCATCTAAAAGCTTAAATTGTTATTGCCTAATATTATATTAAACTGTTAACCATTAATTCATCTAAAATTTTAAACTGTTAGAAACATAAGTAGCTTTATTATTTATATTATAATATTAATTGATGGTTTTTTTAAAAAAATAAAAAATAAAAATTGATAGATCCATGACTCAACATGTCATATTATATATATACAAACAAAAACAACAATGCCTAATTAATACACATTAATATATATTTGTGAGGAAAAAAATTGAATACATACCTAACATTTGACATAAATATATTATATTATATATCATACTATATATATATATTATTTATTTATTTATTTTTGTTTGTAACTCATTACTTACTTTCAAAATTATGCAGAAACCAAATCAGAAGGAAGAAGGGAGAGTGAAGGAACTTAAAGATGAGGTGAGAGGGATGCTTAGTGATGCAAGAACTGAACCTTTGAAAGAAACATTGATCCTTATCGATTCACTCCAACGCCTTGGCTTGTCATATGATTTTGAGAATGAGATTGAGCAGGCACTCCAATCAATTTACAGCACTCAAATCAACTATGGTGGTGGTGGTGGTGGTGGTGGTGGTGGTGGTGGTGGTGATCTCTATATGTTTGCTCTCTGTTTCAGACTTTTTAGGCAACAAGGCTATCTGTTAAGAAACTGATGTATTATTGATTTATGTATGTTATGTTTATATTACAAGGATTCCTATTATATAGGAGAGGATTTGTAGTAGGTGAGGAGTAGGTGGAGAGTAAGTGAAGTAGGTGAGTGTGTGTGGTAGGTGGTAGTGGTAGGTGAAGGTTTTAACAGTCCCCCGCAAACTCAAGGGGGATAGGAACTAACCAACTTGAGTTTGGAAAGAGAGAAACAAAACAAGAAAATACATAAAAATAAAAGATGATAGGAGACATGGTATGGTCGTGTCAGACCGTTGGTGAAGACACTGGATGGTCGTGTCATAACGGTGTAGAGGACACTGGATGGTGGTGTCATAACGTTGTAGAGGACACCGGAAAAGCTAACCGGAATCAATGTCGGGACAGTTTATGGGGTCATGTCGGACCGTTGTAGGAGATACTGTATGATGGGGTATATAGGCTGCCCAAAAGATATACATGTAGATATATATATATCGAGCCCTCAAAAGACGCGCCCTCAAAAGGCGCGCCCACTGCATCAAAAGGCGAGCCATCAAAAGGCGCGCCAGACACGCGGCGATGCACGTGATCGACAGAGCGCGTGTCGGCCTCTTCGTCATGGGCTTTATAAACCGAAGCAGAGGCGGAGGCTTGGAAGCATAACAAACCAGTTGAAACCTCTTCGTTCTCTGAGAGCTTGTCTCTAAGAGCTGCAAATCTTGAAACACTCTGTAATACTCGATTGCCCAGAAAATGGCCTCGTCTTCCCGTGGACTGCTCACCCTCTTTCCCGACCTCAACGAGTCAACAAGAGAGAGAACTGGTGCGGTGGACACCAAAAAAAATTGTATTAAAGTTGTTGCGGATGTCTTGTATTCTACCTGGTTTGTGTTTATAACCCGTTTGTGATCCAGTTGACCCGATTAATGGGCAAATTACCCAACCTGGTTTCTTGATATGTGGATCTTAGTGTATATATATATATGTGTGTGTGTGGGTTATTTCGTGGGTTAGGGTTTGTATTGGTTACAAATGGCTAGGAAGAGAGACAACTGCTCCTTTGTATTTTCTCCTTTTGATAGTGAAACTAACAGCCGTTCTTCGCCCGTGGATGTAGGGCTTATAGCCGAACCACATATATCTTAGTGTTTTTGTGTGATTGCTAGTTTTACTTTCTCGTTTTGTTTGTTCTGTCATAACAAAAGTCTTAATGAAAATGCTGAGCGGGCACAACCCTTGTACAAACAAGAAAAATAAAAATCACAAAATCACAAAATATAGATCCAACACCCCACGTGCATTCAAGGGCAAGCACAGTTGAGCAAGAGAAACTAGGAGCATTGATATAATTCATAAATCTAGGGAAACATCAACAAAGATACGACTGGCTTTTTCAATACACAAACATTCGTGTTTGAAAGAGACATCTGAAGTATCAGCTAAAGTTGCTAAAAGATAAGGCTTCCTTCAAGCTCCTTTTTTTTTTTTTGTGGTTTTGTTTTGTTTTTTTTTTTCTTTTTTTTTTTTAATATAATATAATAAAAAGAGATAGATATATATATATATATAAAAGAAAGAAAGTTGGGAACAACATGATGTGGGCAGTGGGTTGGGTGACCTGTCACAGTGGGTATGAGTTTGGATTTGTTTTTGTTGTTGGGGTGTTGTGTGTTTTGTTTTTTTTTTTTTTTTCGGATAAGAAGAGAGAAAAAAAAGAATAAAAAAATAAATAAAAAAAAATAAAGAAACAAAGTAGTAAAGTGGGGGATGTTGGGGGCGAAGCTTTGTGAAAGAAAAGATAAAAAAAGAATAATAAAAAAATGAAAAAGAAAGAAAAGTTGAGTGGAAATAGGGTGGTGGGATATGTATGGGGGCACGTCTTTAGTAGAGCAAAGACTTTGGGAAAAAAGGGAAAGAAAAGTTGAAAATATGAGGGGAGAGGGGACAAACCCATGTGAGGGATGGGGCGGTGAAAGTGTTGGTATTATAATAAAAAAAAGAATATGGAGATACATAAAATAAGCTAAAAAAATTAAAATTGGGTAGTGGGGAGCCGAGTGGGGTTTGGTCAGAGTATGGAAAAGAGGGTGATTATTAGAGTGATTAAAGAAAACAAGAGTACCCACCCAGATTAAAGAAAACAAGTTGCTTCTTCCCTAACACTGAGGGGTACACCCCAGTTTTGGAGCAGCAGGAGAGAAGCATGGCCGATGATGGTGCCAGAGGGATCGACGGTGGCGAAGGTGTTTGGGTCGAGAGCGTTCGAGTGGTACAGATACGATCTCACTCTGTTGGAGGCCAAGACAAGAAACGACGACGATGAGAACGTGTTCGCGAGTCTTATGAAGGAATCGAGTGCTGCTCGGCTCAACTCGTATGCCAGAAAGGGCGTTCCTGACGCGGTATGGAAGGTCAAGACTCTGCTCAGTGGGCGAGGACGAAGATCATGCCGCCGAAGGAGATGAGTGCTGGTTGCGCCGCCGTCAACGGCGGTGGTGGGCGGCGAAGGGTAGGGCTTTTGGAGGTTTTGCTCTGGCGAGGTATGTATAAAAAAAATCTTAGCGGACTAGGTTGAGGTCCGGCGGGCGGCTAAGGTGAGATTGCCGCCCGCCGGGGAAGCGAAAATACTAGGTTCTAAACCTGCTTTGATACCATGTTAAGAAACTGATGTATTATTGATTTATGTATGTTATGTTTATATTACAAGGATTCCTATTATATAGGAGAGGATTTGTAGTAGGTGAGGAGTAGGTGAAGTAGGTGAGTGTGTGTGGTAGGTGGTAGTGGTAGGTGAAGGTTTTAACACTATCACGTTTCTTCTGGTAAGTTTCCAAACACCACAAACTCTTGTAGCTCACTAAGCTATCATGTTTCTTATGTGTGTTTTTTTTTTATCTCCAACTAGATTCATTTAAAAAGTTCACAGATGAGAAATGTGAGTTCAAGTCAGTGCTGAAAGAAAATGCAAGAGCTTTGCTATGCTTATATGAGGCATCACATTTAAGGGTTCAAGAGGAAGATATATTGGAAAAAGCATTGAAATTTACAAGCAAGCACTTGAGGTCTATGTTAACCCACCTAACCTCTCCTCTCTCTGAGCAAGTTACGCACTCTCTAGAAGTACCTCTCCACAAAGGAATGCCCATATTAGAGGCCAGGCACTACATCAATGTCTACCAAGCTGATTTAGAAAGAAATTCTGTTTTGTTGGAGCTAGCAAAGCTGGATTTCAATCTTTTACAAAGGTTGCACCAGAGAGAAATAAGTGACATCACAAGGTGACTTTAATTATTAATTAGTTATGGTTATCTGATATGGCCTGGTTTGTTTACAATCTATTATCTGAATTAGATCAGTCTAGTGGTGGCTTGTGGTCCATCACAAGTCTTATTCTAATGATTTGATCTTTTTTATTTTATTGGTCTGTGTATAGATGATTTATGAAACAAATTAAATTGATATAATAATCATAGTTAATTTAATTATATTTATATTTAAAAAATAAACAAGAAATATAATTTTAAAATTAGACCATTGACTACTTTAAAGACACGTCATTAAATCTTCACATTTTCTTTATGGAAATTTCAGTGTAATTTTTGTTTAATTTTTTATCTTTTGTTGATAATCTAATTTTTCAGGTGGTGGAAAGAGAGAGAGATTGCAACAAAGTTACCTTTCGCAAGGGATAGATTGGTGGAGTGCTACTTCTGGATATTAGGGGTTTATTTTGAACCCAAGTACTCTGTTGTTAGAAGCTTTATGACTAAACTAATAGCATTAGCTTCTGTCATAGATGACATTTATGATGTGTATGGTACCCCTGAAGAACTTCAATTATTTACAGATGCAATAGAAAGGTATGTGTGCAATTTTAATCCATCTGATACTTGTAGACTTGTATATTAGTCCCAATAAAAATTACATTTGTATTGGCCACTTCTCGATAAGTATCAGTTCATAGCAGCTTAATCACGAGCTAATTTATAACCAATATGGCTAGTTCATAGTTGATCATTACACCTTGTTCAACTGCTTGCAATGTGGGATATCATCACCATGTGAGGGGTGATTCTCCATGTGCTGCAAGAGTTGGCCATGTGAAGCCAACACACATGAGCTGGCCATGTGAAGCCAACACACAAGATAGCTGGCCATATGCAAGGCCAGCCTCTCCATCTCCATTCTGTTAGTGTATAAATGGAGGCTGAGGGGAAGGTTTGAGAGATAGAGCAGAGCAAGTCACAGAGAGTGACATATCTGAGACGGAGAGACCGTCTTCCTTGGTGTGAGCGAGGGCGACGGGTGAGTGGGTGAGTGAGGAGAGTGTGAACTCCTCCTCTATTGTAATCTTTCTGTAATATCTCCATTGTTATAGTGATAACCGGCTACTCTCCCGTGGACGTAGGCATTGAGGCCGAACCACGTTAAATATTGTGTCTCCTTGAGTGTGGGTGTGTTTTTCTGCATGGAATAATTTCTATAAGGTCTTGGGCGGGATCCCAGATCCCAACAAGTGGTATCAGAGCCTCGTTGGTGGCGTTTCGGAACAAAAACAGCGTGTTGTTTGAAACTGCCCAGAAATCAAGTTGCTCGAAATCAGGTTTTGAGCATACCAGGAGCAAGGGCTCGACGAGAGGAGTCCAGAAATATAAAGCAGACACCCAACGGAGGCCGGACGCGCCCTCACGCGCCTCTGGAAGTTGGCGCGTGAGTCCCAGTCTCGTCACGCGCCAACACGCGCCGTGCAGGCACCCGGCGCGTAGTCCAAGTCTCCCCCACGCGCCCCACGCGCGGACGAAGGAAGAAGACGAGTGGGCAGGCAGCGCGTGTCATCCACGCGGCTGGAACACGCGCAGGCCGCGTCAGCGTGCCACGTCGTCAACACGTGGCGACACGTCAGCAAAGGTTTGCCACGTGTCTGCCCCGTCAACCAGAGGCAGGGAAGGATCCAGTGCTTTGCAGCGAAGGTACAGCCGCAGATCTGAGGCGTACAAAATGTTTTGGCTAGATCTAAGCCATTTGGAGTCCGTTTTTGGTGATCCAATAGTGGTTTCCGACTATTTGGAGTATTCCGGACACATCCGTACGGTCAGATTTTGCAAACAAATTTTCAAAAATTTGCAGTTTTTATTTTGGCAATCCGAAGTGCTTTTCCGGCTAATTTGAGCAGTCCGGACTTCACAGCAAAGCCTATTTTTCAAACAGAGATTACTTTCTGGATGATGGAGGAATCCACATCAGTCTCAAGGCTGATGATTCGGTTGAACGCTTCTAATTATGCGATATGGAAGCCGCGGATGGAGGACATCCTGTATTGTAGAGATTTGTTTGACCCTATAGCGCTAAAGGGGGTCAAACCAGATGGAGACAAGGATGGGGACTGGATAAAAACCAACCAGAAGACTGTTGGTCAAATCAGACAGTGGATTGACCACAGTGTGTTCCACCATGTTATCCAAGAGACAGACGCCTATGCCCTATGGATGAAATTGGAGGGCATGTACCAGTCCAAGATCGCACGGAACAAAGCCTTGATAATGAGAAGGCTTATAAACTTGAAGCTGAAGAATGGTGTGTCTGTTGCTGAACACACCAGTGAATTCCACAGCCCTGTGAACCAGCTTGCATCAATCAAAATGGAGTTGGAGGATGAGATACAAGCATTATTATTACTCAGTTCCTTACCAGACAGCTGGGAGACGTTGGTGGTTTCTCTTAGTAATTTTGCACCCGAAGGGAAGCTGACCATGGGGATGGTCACAGACGCCTTATTCAACGAGGAGGCAAGGAAGAAAGAGATGGAAGGAGAGCAGTCCCATGCCCTTGTCACAGAAAGTAGAGGCAGAGATAGAGAAAGGGGCAGAGGTAGAGGAAGAAGTAAAAGCAGAGGGCGTTCACAGTCCAGACAGGACAACACGAGGAGGTGTTTTTACTGTGATCAAGAGGATCACGTAATAAGAGATTGCCCAGAGAAAAAGGCGGACAGACAAGCCAAAGAGAAGGCTAAGGGACACGGAGGTCCCTCAACTATAGCAGTTGCAGTGCATTCCTCTGACGATGAAGAGGTGTTGCTTACAATCTCGTCAGAGTTGGAAACACCCGGTTGGATTTTGGATTCAGGGTGTACGTTCCACATATGTGCGGATAGGAAGCTTTTCTCCACTTACCGAAGAGTCAACGGTAGCATTATCCGGATGGCCAACAACACAGTGAACAGAGTTGTCGGCATAGGGACAGTGCGGTTCCTTACTAAGGCTGGAAGAAAAGTAATTTTATCTGAGGTCCGACATGTGCCAGGAGTACGGAGGAATCTAATCTCCCTGAGTATGCTAGATCTAAAAGGAAATTGTTTCTCATCTAGTGGCGAGGTTCTTCATGTACACAGAGGTGATAGAGAAATGTTGCAAGGCAAATTGTGCAACAAACTGTACAGACTGGAAGGAGAAGTTTTGACAAAGATGAGTGTTGTCAAATGCCAGTCGAAGGGTACAAAAAGAGAACATACGCAACCAATGCGTATGATTGAGCAAGGCTTTCATCAGGAATGGCGAAAACGGTGCACGGGAACGCAAGGAGGCAGTTCAAAGGTGCACAGATCTGAGCCAGCGAAGCCAATCTTGAAGAAAGTTCAGAGCAAAGAAACCAAGTCTGTAGAGACTATGCCAGTGAAGAAGAGAGTTTCTTTTGCTTCCGTGTTAGAGACATTTTGCAACCTCTCAAAAGATGCATGGAAGGGAGGGTTGCAATCTCGAGTCGCAAAGTGAGCTTTGCAATGCACTCCAATAAGGGGGTGCAAGCACTATGCACGGAGTTGCATAGTGGTAACTTGTACAGACCGGTGGAAGTTGTCTTGGCAGAAGGGCTAACTATCAAACATCAGTACGGACGCACAAGTGAGACAGAACCGAACATCAGGGATTGCAGCACAGACAACAGGCGTATGAGATCGCTGGGAAGTTGTTCTGAAGTGCAGAAAGCAAAGGCTGGTTGTTCAGAAATAAGCTCCGAGCAAGGAAAATTGAGGATGTTGATGTGGCAAACTCTGAAGTTTTCTAGTTGCTCCCGTGTTCATCATGCAAGGAGTTGCACGGTAATGCAAGGGTATCCCGAGCAGGGGGTACAGGGCATCCAATCAGGGGGTGCTTGATACCTTGGCAGCAGGTTTTGTTGTGGATCACCTCACATGGACTGAGGGGGTGATTTGTGGGATATCATCACCATGTGAGGGGTGATTCTCCATGTGCTGCAAGAGTTGGCCATGTGAAGCCAACACACATGAGCTGGCCATGTGAAGCCAACACACAAGATAGCTGGCCATATGCAAGGCCAGCATCTCCATCTCCATTCTGTTAGTGTATAAATGGAGGCTGAGGGGAAGGTTTGAGAGATAGAGCAGAGCAAGTCACAGAGAGTGACATATCTGAGACGGAGAGACCGTCTTCCTCGGTGTGAGCGAGGGCGACGGGTGAGTGGGTGAGTGAGGAGAGTGTGAACTCCTCCTCTATTGTAATGTTTCTGTAATATCTCCATTGTTATAGTGATAACCGGCTACTCTCCCGTGGACGTAGGCATTGAGGCCGAACCACGTTAAATATTGTGTCTCCTTGAGTGTGGGTGTGTTTTTCTGCATGGAATAATTTCTATAAGGTCTTAGGCGGGATCCAAGATCCCAACATGCAACTGGTGGCTTTAAAATTCACACCCACGACACTAGATTTTTATATATATCACTTGATACTTCTGATACCGTTATACCGTGATTGATATTGATACGTCTTCTGATTAAAAACATGACATCACTAATTTCATAGGTGGGAAGAAGCAGCTATCAGTGATTTACCTGAATACATGCAAGTTTGCTTCGAGGCACTCTCAGATGTCATGAAGGAAATGGAGGACAAGATAATGACCCACGAGGGGAGATCCTACCACATATACTATGCAAAAGAAGCAGTAAGTAATTAAAATTTTCTCTCATCCAAACAAGACTATCTTTAACTTAGTTTTTCAGCATAATAGCTGTCTAATACTTACATTTGTGTGGTTTTCTTCAGATGAAAGGTCTAGTTAGAGCCTACTTTGTGGAAGCAAACTGGTTTAACACCAAGTATATGCCTACATTTGAGGAGTACTTGAGCATTTCTATGATGAGCAGTGGTTATCCTATGCTGGCTGTTCAATCCCTTGTTGGCATTGGAAAGATTGCAACCAAGGAAGCCTTTGATTGGGTGCTTAATGTTCCCAAAATTGTGAAGTCTTGTGCACTAATTGCTAGGCTGGTTGATGACAACCAAACTCATAAGGTACCTCACAATATATTGAGGTCAAATAATGATTTTTAAATATCAGCCTGTATTCATAATCTATATAACTAGTTCGACGGTTATAAAATTATTTTTTGCAAATGATTTTTAAAATTTTACTACCATGATACTCAATTTTCAATATGTATCGGTTTTTATTCTCGATACTATTATGCTACAAGTGATGCAGTTACGTTTCTTAATGTCTAACTCAAATATGAACTCAGATTTTCTATTAATGTCTTTTTATATTGTCTGTCTTAAGTCATTTTTGTATCACACAATTGATACCTCTAACCTTGTCATGTGGTAGAGAGAAAACAAGAGGGCATAAGAGATTTGGACAAAAGATCCGTAGCGAAATACAATAGGATAATATTTCTTTTGACCCAAATTTTGTCAACCCTAAAGTGTGTTTGGCTCGTGGTAATCTAACGATTTTTTCTCTAAATTTTGAAGGTTGAGCAAGAGAGAGGGGATGTACCTTCGGGTGTGCAATGCTACATGAGGGAACACGGTTTGTCCGAGGAAGAAGCATGTGGGAAAATAAGAGAAATGGTGGACATTGCTGGGAAAGACATCAATGAAGAACTCCAAAATCCTAATAGGCTCTTCCCTCTGCCTCTACTATTACCAACTCTTAATCTCTCACGGATGATAGAAGTCATTTATGGACATGGTGATGGTTACACTAATTACCAAAGATATCATCATCTCAGTGCTTGTTAATCCCATCTCCGTGTAATAGTTTTCTTTATGTATCGAAATAAGACTAAAAATAAATAAGGCATTTCATCTAATAATAGTCAAATTTCGTTTTCAAATGTGAGTCTCATCATCAATGGTTGAATGATGACTACACTCAAGGATTGTTTGAGATAACCTAAATAAGTGTATTTTTGTCTTTTTATGAAAAGATGTGCAGAAAAGTAGAGGGGTGATGTGATGAAAAAAAGATAAAAACATAAAAAGATAGATTATATTGGAGTTGCCAAACTTGACCTGAATAGGAATTTGTAATTTAATCTATGTAGTGTGTTTGGATCATGATTACATTACAATTCATGTTAACATGGAGGAGAATCTAACTTACAGGCTTAAAAAAAATAATAAAAAATAATTAATTAATTATCTAAAGTCCTATTTACAAATATTATGGTAATTAGGTCTTATTTAAGAGTTTTTGAACCAATAAGTCCTATTTAGTAAAACTAAGAATATTATCAATTTTTCTTAATTTTTAAAATTAAGAACATTATTAATTTTTGCATAGTAATATTCCAGATAATTGTTTCACTAACTGATGAAAAAAACAGAGTATGAGATTAAACATTTTTATCTTTCTACTTATTAGTTTGATTTAACTATCCAATAAAATCGAGAATATTAACAGTTTTTTTCAGTTTTAAAACTGAGAACATTATTAATTTTTTATTTTTAAAGTTTTTTTTCCAGTTTTGCACATCAGTATTCCATCATCATGCTCCTTTATAGACCCAAAATTTTCAGTTTCAAACAAAAAATTAATTCAATTTTTTCAAAAAAGAAATTAGTTTTTTATTTATTTATTTTTGCATATAATTTTTTTTTTTTAGTTTTTTTCAATTTGAAAGTTGATATTTTAAAGTTTTGAAAATCAAAATAAATGTCAAATTATCATGTTCTTTTATAGATAATCATAAATGATGAAAATCATTGTTTGAAGAGCAATTCTAATGATTAAAAATTTAATAGGACTTGATGGTCCAAAAAATCTTAGTTAAGACTTTATGAAGTATAAGTTCATAAATCAAACTTGTGTGCAAATGCCCCAAAAATAATTTAGTTTTTCCATTTTTTCAAAACAAAATTAAATTTTATTTTAGTTTTTTCAATTTGAAAGTTGATGTTTTAAAGTTTTAAAAATCAAAATAAATGTCAAATCATCATGTTATTTTATAAATAATCATAAATAATGAACAATCATTATTAAAAATTTAATGGGACTTGAAGATCTAAAAAATCTTAGCTAGGATTTAATGTAGTATAAGTTTATAAATTAGAACTTATATCTAAATGTCCAAAAAAAAAACAAACAATTTGTTTTTATAATTATACTTGTTATTTATTTATTTAATATGATGAAATCAAGAATAAATAAGGAGAAATAGTGAATGTTGTTCTATAATTAATCATAATATAAAATATTTTAGTTAATTATGATCCAGATACAGTGAAATTTTTTTGAGCCGAAACAAAGAGTATATTATAAATAAAAAAAAAAGGTAAATTATAAACATATCCCCTGAGGTTTACTTGAATTATAAATTATTCCCTTTGGTTCTAGAAATTACATTATGTTCCCTAAACATAACAAATAGGGCTTTTTATTAATAAATCACCAGGTTAATTAATAGTTTTTAATAATGTTAAAATTTTATTTCAATTAATAATTCAGATAATTTTATTATTGTATAGTTGAACAGTTAGAAATTTTACCGTTTTAATTAATTCTGTTAAATAAAAAATTCTAACATGAAGGTATTTATAATTTTCTAAACTATAGAGGGCAATTCATACTTTAAGTAAAGTTTAATGGTGTATTTATAATTTATCCTAAAAAAAAAACCAAGTGAAGCTATTTTTTATAAACAGTTATCTTCGTTCTATCTTCAATGAGTCCTATCATTTTGGCAATCTTTATATATAGTTGTAGAAAACTTAGCTGATGTAAATTCAAAAGTGAACCTATTTTTTTAATTAAAAATATATTTTTTACAATCCAAACAATCATGCCCCTACTAACTTCATGATAAATAGGAAAAAGCATAAATCATATGATAATTATTTTAATTTTATGTCATATCACTCTCTCTTTACCATCATTTAAAATTTTCTAACATAATTATTATACATATATAATGTGTACACGCCGCTTATTTATATATATATATATATATATAAACAGCAAAGGTCGAGGGATTTAAGGTAATACTTGTTAAAACCAAAAACATACAGTAGAGATGTTGATGATTGAACAGAGAATAAAAAACCCATTCCACGTAACATTGCCTCCCCCTCCCCCTCAAAACATGAACGGTGCTGCTGAGAACGATGACGTGATTATCGGAAAGCAACTTCTCCTGAAAATAAATAAATTATATAAGGGGGAATTAAAATTCAGTGGTAACTTTTAAAAAATTATAAAATAATGAAAAAATATAACATTTTAATTATTAAAATTTATAAACTTTATTATACTGATTTGTAATTTTTTTTACACTTACCTCTGTAGTTATTTCCCCTTATATAAAACACCACCAGGAGAGAAAAAAGAAAATTAAAAAAAAAAACACCCAATTAAGACTACCAACTCATATATATTAATGGATAAATTACACTTTTCACTCTAATAGTTGACTCAAATTTCACTTTTTATTATTTTAATTTGAACAATTTAATTTTCACACTTTATAAAAGTTTCTTGAAAAATTGTATAAAAAAATAATAATAGAAAGCATTTTAAAATTAACAAACATATGTATTAATTGAATTTAATAATAAATATCTTGAAATCTACATAATTCTTTTGTTATTTTCTTGTACATTGGGAGCACTTTAACAAGATTCATTTCTCCATTATATTTTTTAAAACCTCTACTTCTATAATATTTGAAAATATATATATATATATATATTATATAAATATATTATACCTGACAATATCTGAGATAAAAGTCTTGTTTGGAAAGTTGACTATTTAGTTGTTTAGCTATTTTAATTTGATTAAAAAAATTGTTTTCGAAAAGTTGATTGGCTTTTTTTAGTTAATTTGATGGTTGTAGGAGAAAAATTAAAATAAATATAAATTATATGTGGTATTTTATCTTATAAATTATTTTAGTCTAATTTATTATTTAATAAGTTATTTCAGCTCAACTCTCTTTCTAAACCAGACTAAAAATCATTTTATCTAATTATGTAGTTAACAAACAAACACTTCTAGTAGTTCGTTCCTTGAGTATCGGAATGTAGGAAAAAATAAAAATGATTATATGAGGACGGACCGAGTAAACGGGAGTGAAAAACATACCCGGAATTGTCGCTACTGTAATTAAGGACAGAAACTCCGGCAGCAGTGGTGGCGGACGACGACGACGACGACACCTTTCTCTTCAGCATTCTCTCAGATCCAGCGTTCATACTCCTCCACCTTTCTCTCTCCGACTCCGGCACCACATTGTCCTCTAAAATCGCTCCCAGCGAGGGCCGCCAATCGGCCGACGATCCCGAGCTCCCTCGCTTCCGGTTCTGATAACGGCCCCGGGAAGGCCGTTGCCGTTGCCGTTGCCGTGACGAGGGAAGCACGAGGAACTGCCTCTCCTTCGCTCGCAGTGGGTCCGGCCGACTGGGGGCAGACCCACAGCAGGTCACGAATTCCAGGAGGGACTTCATTTCGGAGAGAGAGAGAGAGAGAGAGGTGCTAGGGAGTTGAGAGGATGGTGGTGACGGGAATGGAGGATGAGAATGGGTGAACCACTCTCATTATATTAGAATGTTTTAGAAAGATTAGCTTATGGAAAATGAGTTGGACCCTTGATAAGGGACCTCTTTGATCCTCTCTTTTTGATTGATCAGTTTTTTTTTATTTTATTTTTTTTTTCTCCTTTAATCACCATCCGTCATGTGTGTGGAGGTAGTGGGGATGGTGATTGGAGGGGTCTCAATTACTTCCCTTGACTTTTTATCAAGTATTTTGATTTTTTTTAAAAGTAATTTGAGAAATTAATAAAAAATTATTTTTGATTTTTTTATTAATACTTATTTATAATATCACATCACAATAAAATAATTAAATTATCCTATTTAATTTAAAAAATTTACATATTCACTCATGTATACTCATGTATTCTACACAATATAAGAGTATGATTGTAATTTTTCATATAATTTTTTTTCACCTTGCCAAATAACTCTTTCCTAAAAAAGTCAATGTATTTTTTTATTTTTTTTTCTCAAGCTAAACGCAGCTTTTTATCAATGTTGCCAAAAGACCAATTATCATTATCATGATGTGGCGGCTGGATATTAATTTAGATATTTTATTAAAGGTTAAAAAGTATATATATATATATATATATTATAATAAAACAAAACGATTTCAAAAATAAATTATAAAATTTAAAATTTAAATCGCAATTAATGAATAAAACAATACGATTTTAACCAATCAATACAATTTCAACAGATTGAACGAAGTTTTAGTCAATCTTATACCAAACACTTATTTTCTTTTGTACCCCTCATCCCTCATCTTCTCCATTTCCCGACCCTCACATAAGTTGTTCAAATACTAAAATGCAACTAATTTGAATAGTACGTTAAAAAAAAAACTAATTTCAATAGACATCTTCAATTAAACCATATGAGCTCAAATTAAAATTTTCAATGACAAAATAAATGAAATTGATAATTTAATAATGAAATAAAAAAATAAAAAAAAGAATAGTTTTAGAGAATGAAAATAAAATTAACCTTAAAAATAACATTTAGAACAAATAGTTGCAAATAGATAATAAAAAATAATTATATTAAGGTCTCGTTTGGCATGTAACATTTTTAGTCTAAAAATCAAAAAGTTACTAAAAAAACCAAAAAGTCTATAGCATATACCAAAAAATCAAAGATTACATTTTTTTTTCTACTTTTTACACATTTTTTTGTAAAAAATTAAAAAATCTTTCTAATTATAATTTTTTAAAATTTAAATTTTGTGTAGTTAAAAAATAAGCAATTATGTTATTTTATTATACAAATTTTAACTCTATTTTGTGTCTACTACCTATAATTTAATCAAATTTTGTCTTCTAAAGCTACTTAATTGAAATAAGAAAGAATAAAAAATTATAAGAATATTGAAAGTGAAAATCAGATAAAAATAGAATAAACTTAATTAAAAATCAAAAGCAAGAATCGATCCTGTAAATATAAGATAAAGATTAAAAAAAAATCAAATGCAAATTTGAAGATAAATTATACGAATATAGAAAGAGAAACTTGGATAAATTGCAAAAGTAAAAGAGAGCAAAAAACATAATATGAGATTTAAAACATGTGCTTCTTTTCACATAAGATGCTAAAAATTTTGCATAATTGGTTAAATCACCCGGTTAATTTCTTTGGAATGTTATTTTTGTTCTCCAATCTTTTTGCCTAATTTCATATTGTCATAGAAGTTAGGTTTTGAGATTTATAAATTTATTTATTTATTTATTTCAAATATCATTGGGTAAGGCATAAATTGATGAAGAAATTTGAATTAGAGTCCAACTCATCTTTTATTTTTAAATATTTTAAAAATCTTTTTTCTTTAAATATTTTGAAAATCTTTTATATCCATGCCATAAGTAATTAAAAAGTGAAATAAAAAATATAAAAAAAATAAGAACAAATAGTAAAATAGAATGAGAGAAGAATTGTTGTGCCGCGTAGGAAAGAAATTCATGAGATGTTAGGATTGAGAGTTTTGTTTTGATGAAAAAATTTGAATTAGAGTCAAACTCATCTTCTATTTTTAAATATTTTGAAAATCTTTTATCTTTAAATATTTTGAAAATATTTTATATCCATGCCATAAGTAATTAAAAAGTGAAATAAAAAATATAAAAAAAAAAGATAAGAAAAAATAGGAAAATAAAATGAGAGAAGAATGAATGTGCCACGTAGGAAAGAGATTCATGAGTTGTTAAGATTGAGAGTTTTAAATTTTTTAAGAGATCACTACATTTGCTTATATATATATATATATATTAAGTATAACAAAATAAAATGATTTCAAAAATAAATTATAAATTTTAAAATTTAAATTACAATTAACGAATAAAACAATACGATTTTAGCCAACCAATACAACTTTAACAGATTGAACAGATGTTTTACACAATCATATTCTCTACCCCTCCTCATCCCTCATCTCCCCCCTTTCCCGACCCTCACATAAGTCGTTCAAATACTAAAATGCAACTAATTTGAATTTCAAAAAAAACTAATTTCAATAGGCATCTTCAATTAAACCATATGCGCTCAAATTAAAATTTTCAATGACAAAATAAATGAAATTGATAATTTAATAATGAAATAAAAAAATTTAAAAAAAAAAAAGAGAATAGTTTAGAGAATGAAAATAAAATTAACCTTAAAAATAACATTTAGAACAAATAGTTGCAAATAGATAATAAAAAATAATTATATTAAGGTCATGTTTGACACGCAACACTTTTAATCTAAAAATCAAAAAGTTACTAAAAAAAACTAAAAAGCCTATAATATATACTCAAAAAATCAAAGATTACCTTTTCTCTCTACTTTTTGTACATCTTTTTGTAAAAAATCAAAAAATCATTCTAAACATACTAATTTTTTTTATCTCATATTTTAGCCAAAAAAAATCAAAAAATTATTAAAATAACTTGTTCCAAACGAGCCCTAAGAGTCAAAAAAAAAAAAAACAAACAAACAAACAAACAAAACAAAACAAAAACAAAAACAAAAAGAACAAAAAAAGACAAGAAAAAAGAAAAAGTAAAAGTAAAGAAAAGAAAATTACAAAGTCATAGGATTCATACCTTAAATTTATCAAAAATACCCCTCTTTCTTATCTTCCCTTCTCCTTCCTATCTCTTGTTTTTCTCTTCCCCTGCAACGCAGACAGCCTCCATCACCGACTTACCCCTCTATTGTCCCTAACCACCCTCAACCTCTCCCCCCGCCCACTGTCGTCCACTCCTCCCCCACTCTCCCTTGTCACCCTCACAGCCCTTCTCCGACCCCCAATCCCTCCCTTACCTTCCCAGCACCGCACCACTGCACAGCTATTTGAAGAAAAAAATTAAAAAAATTGAACTTAAAAATTACTGTGATCAATAATGAATCGAATACTTGGATGTGCAGTAGATATTAAACCTGACATGGTTTTGGATGGAGAATATGCCCAGAACAAATTCTAGTTGTTTCAACTTCAAACCCTGCTTTGGTTGCTTTTTTGTAATGCTTCCTTTTCCTTCTTGTTTTGCTTTCAGTTGCTGGCAAGGTCCACTTGCCCGGAGGACCTGTAACCCAAAAGACTACACAATCTCAACCCAGTTATGTAGAGGATGATCAATAATGAATCGAATACTTGGATGTGCAGTAGATATTAAACCTGACATGGTTTTGGATGGAGAATATGCCCAGAACAAATTCTAGTTGTTTCAACTTCAAACCCTGCTTTGGTTGCTTTTGTGTAACGTTTCCTTTTCCTTCTTGTTTTGCTTTCAGTTGCTGGCAAGGTCCACTTGCCCGGAGAGCTGCTTCCCCCTTTCTCCTCTTTAGCAACTTGCCATTGTTGAACTCTATCATGTGTTAATTCACCCATTTGTACAAATATATGTATGTGTGCGTGCGTGTGTGTGTGTGTGTGTGTGTGTGTGAGAGAGAGAGAGAGCAGCAGCAGCAGCAAATCAAACAAGACACTTTTACTGTAAAACATCCAACTGTAACCCAAAAGACTACACAATCTCAACCCAGTTATGTAGAGGACCCAGAAAGACATACATTTATGATGCACAAATTTTGAAGTGTCTTAGTACAGCCTCGTTAGTAGAAATTGTCACAGAATATTCATGAATAGCAGATGCAAATAGTCTGCACAAAAATGTCTTAACATGCAGCAATTCAAGTCTATATTGTCAATTCAATCTCTGCTCGGATTCATATTAGGCTAGACTCAGCTCTTGGCAAGTCAAAATAGAGAACTGAGAGTAAGCACAATTGCGGTCAAAACAATCTGATATCTTTAAAATGACCAGCTTCTCCCACCAATAATTCATGGACGACCATATGGAGACCCATATCCAGGAGGTGGTGATCCGGCATTGTTCTTGAACTGAGGAGGTTGTGGTCTTGGTCTAGCATACTCCGTGAATATTACCCATCCATCCAAAAACTACAAAATCAATAAGACAAAGACCCATCATTCTCAATACCCAATAAATTAATCATCAATATCATAACAATAAGTAGCTGAAGGAGCCCCCTGGCATAGCAAATGCATATAGTATTGTGCTGGTGATAAGGGAAAACAAGAGTAATTTTAAATGTCATGAATTGTCAAGGTTACTAAATCACACAACACGAACAATAATCAACATCTAATAAAAGTGTATACATCTTCCGTGTTCCTGCCATTAGAAGATCACTCATTTCAAGGGTATTATCAAAACACAACATGAACAATGACCACTGTCTAGTAAAGGTATATAGTTCTTCCCTTTTGTGTTCTTGCTAAGGCCATCAGACAGTGTAGTTGACCGTTGACATTTGTCTTTCACATAAGAAAAGTTATAACATTCAAAATCCATACAAGTAATTCAAACTTTAAACAGCACAGCCTAAAGGACATTGTCTTTTACATAGGAAATTCAAAATCCATACAGATTATTCAAGCTTTAAACTGCACAGCCTAAAAAACAATCAATTCACAAAACTCAGCATGCCAGAAGTCATCATAAGAAATAAAAATAATAGAACTCAAATAATTCTACTATGTATATATATATATATATCTATATTCTAAACCATTTTGAAAAACAGTAGCAACTTTGTTAGTACACTGGCTATCCACCATTTTTAACATAAGTAATTTGTGCCATAAGATACTTCGTAAAAAATTTTGAGCACTTGATTTTCTTCTTTTGCTTCACTTTCTTATGAGGAATCAAACAAGTAACTACACAATCAGAAACATGGGATTCATTTTCACAGTTGAAGATGAATTCTTGTTTGAGCAGACTGGTGTATCTCAAGACCCAAAGGTTTCTTCCTAATATTGTTGATGAATTGGAATTTTCAAAAAATAAAAATAAAAAAACAGCCGGGAATGGGGGGCATTGTTGCTAAAGGGCAAACCATTTTCTTAACATTAATCCTGACACATAATTCCAAACCATCATTTTTTGGCTACTTTTGTCTGTGCAAGGGTGTTTTTACGTGCATGAAGTATTTGGGCTAAAGTCACCTCACCTTGCCATCCATGCCCTTTATACCTTTTGCAGCGTCTTCTACTGTGGCATATCTTATGAAACCAAATCCCTTGGAATATCCAGATACTTGATCAGTCACCACACCACTCTAGCACTAGCTGCAAAGCGCAGAACACCAAAGTTCAATCATTTTCTACTATAGCAGTTTCGATAAAAACCAATTTCTAAAAGGCTTTGGCAGGAGAAAACAAACCATGGACCACATCACCAAACCTTGCAAAGGCATCTTGAAGTCCTTCTGTAGTAGTACGTTTGCTAAGCCCTGAAAGTACAAAAGGGTCACATTCTTGTAAAAATTACAGTGACTTAATACCAGCCACAGTATCAAGTCAATGGACAAACTAAACCACACAAGAAGAGGAACAATCTTCATAACATAACATAAAATTAGAAGAAAGGGAAAAGAAATCAAGTTTAGGGACTACTGGTTGGTACATTGGTAAAAGCTCGGCATGTCAAGCCTGAGAGCAGCGAATTTGTACATATTATACCAAAGGTTAGATTTGTATCAAGGCTAGCATGGAATATCAGAATTCATGATAACATATCATTATGGACAAATTAAACTACAAGAAGAGGACAAATCTTAATAACATTAACATCAGATTAAAAGAAGGGTAGTGCCATTCTGACTTCACTTTTGTACGACTACACTCCATTTTTTTTTTTTTTATTTATTAGACAAAATTACAGTAACACTATTGAATAGTTGATACACTTTTTGCACAAAATGAGGTCAGTAAAGCATATACACTTTACACATGGGGGCGGTGAAGCATCCATGAGCTCTATTACGCCTTCAAACGCATGGAGTGCACTTCACATGGGTGTCTTGTTTTAAATGTCTCAGCATTTTTCGGCCACCTAACTTGCCACAAGCTTCAAAATACCTTTTAAAATACTGGTCATAATAAAATCAAATTTATGTATTTACATCAAACAAACATGTTCCCCCCTTACAATTACTTACGACAAATAGGCATACAGACACAACAATGCAATGTTATCTGTAACATATTTTTCAAAATATGTTGTATCAACAGATTCCTCCGACTTTTATACAAAGAAAGTATATGAACACAAACACAAGAAAGCATCAATTTGTACTTTCTTCATCTTGATTTAACCTTCTTCATCTTGTTCCTCTTCTAAGAAAACCCATGATTCCAAAATACAAGTAGCTACAATGATTAATTAACAGTAATTCTTACAAGGAAAACAAAATGATTTTATCTAGTGAAATACCCTATGCAACTGAATTTTCAATTAAACTGGAAAAGTTTATATAAAATAAAAAAGTAAAAAATAAAAATCGAATCGAACACTCTATACATCATCGAATCATTTGGCTTATTAGAATTGAATGGCAGAACTACCAGAACACCAACAGAAACGAAAAAAGAGGATATTTTTAAGAAAACATATAAGATGCGGCCGATGAAATGCAAAATCAAATGGATTCAAAGCAAGTTATGTAATTAATGGATTCAAATAGAAAACAGTAGTCAGTAATCGAAGAACGAAAGAAAGGGAAAATAGAGAGATACGTGCCAGAGACGAAGAGGTTGGTGGAGGGTCTTGATTGGTCGGCGGAGGAATGAAGGGTGAAGTGGAAGTTAAAGTAGAGAATAATAGCCCTCTCAGGCTCAGACCGCCAGGTCCCGCCGCCGCTGCTGCTCTCATCGCCATGGCCATGGCATGGGGGTTTAACACTATTTGTCAAGTGGGTTTGAATAGGTTTGAGGTTGAGGTTACTCTCGTTATAAAATAAGTTATTTTAGTTCTAATAAATATAATATTATATTTAAACTTAGAATCATTACACTTTTTTTATAAAAAAATTTAAAAAATAAAAAAGGCTTTTTTAAATTAAATTTTTTAGTTTAAGTTAAAATAATCAAAAAAAATTAAAAAGTTAAAAAATTAACTGACTTTCCAAACGACACTTATATTTGGAAATTGAGGAGAGAAAAAGATAGGAAAAGAAATGATTATTGAAGGCAAAAAAAAAAGAGAAAAAATGAAATGAAATGGTTATAATCTCCCTTTTTTATTTGGATAGGTAAGAAATAAAATAAAAAGAGTTATTGTGATTTTTTTTTTTATTTAGTTAGATTTCATAAGAGTAAATTATTTTACATTACATTATCAAAATAATTTTTTTATATTTTGTCAATTATTTTATTTTATTTATTTTTATAGGGACAAAATTGATATTTTGAAAATGTCTGTTGATTTCGTTTCTCTCACAATCTCTCTACTTTTGAGAAAATTAAAAATGAAGGTTATAAGACAAATGAATTTCTTTATGTCTCTCTATTTCTCTTTACTTAAATTATTCAAACAAATAAAATGCATATCTCTCTATTTCTTTTCTTTACCCTCCAAATCACATAATCCAAACATAATGTAAGCTCCTTCCCTAGGGCTGCAAACGAACCGAGCCAAGCCAATCTTTGCTGAGCTCGAGCTCGACTCGGCTTGATAATTTTTTTTGTAATATTATTTATATTATTTAATATATAAAAAATGTATTTATATTATTATTTTTATATATATTTATATATTATTTATATATTTTTTAATATATAAATAATATATTTATTATATAATTTAAATAAAGATAAACGAGCCGAGCTTATGCGAGTTCGAACTCGGCTCGTTTACTAAACAAGCCTAATATTCGAGCTCGAGCTTGTTTAGCCGAGCTGAGCTTGTTCATGAACAGTTCGGTTCGTTTGCAACCCTTCCCTGGCAAGGACAAGGGTTTAAACTCCAGAATTAACCTACTTAAATATCTTCTGTTTTTTTATTTTTTTGAGCAAAAATAATGACAGTTTAAAATACGTTTCTTTTATAAAATATATTTTTAAATTTTACGTTTTTATGTTTCTTGAAAAGTGAGTAATTTTATAATAAAAAAAAAATCCCGATTGGTAGCTTGAAATCAACATTTGATGTTTTAACCTTTACTTTATTGTTTTTTATTTTATTTTTTTTTTTTCTTTTGTCTCTTTGAAGATGAAGAAAAAAGATAAAGAATAGAGAGAGAAAGAGGAAGCTGGGTTCATCTTCATCAACAACAACACAGAGAGAGGAACAGAGTTTATCTTCATCATCAACAACACAGAGATCTTCATCAATATCATCCGATCTTCATCTTCATCATTTTTTTTTTCATTGTTTTTCTGCAGATCTTGTTCATCATCTTCATCATCTTCAACATCTTCAACATCATCACCATCTTCATCAACAAAAAAAAAAAAATTCCGTTGGTCTGCAGATCTGGATCAACATTATCATCAATAATTTTTTTTTTTTTTCAGATCTAGATCTACTTAAAAAAAAAAAAGTTTGAAAGAGGAGATCGGACCGTCGATCGCCGCCACCATCACTGTCAATTGCAGCCACCATCGCCAACTCTCTCTCTCTCTCTCTCTCTCTCTCTCTCTCTCACATCTTCTCTTCCCTCTATGTCTGTGTTCGAAAGAATAACAAAGGAAAGAATGAAAAGGAAAGAAAGAAAGAAGTAAAAAAAAAAAAAAAACTACCCAAAACGATGTCGTTTTGGACAGTTCGGGCCATTCGAGTTGGACGAAATTCGAATTACGAGTCATTTTTCTAAAAAAAATTATTTTCTATAACTATTCATTAAACAAGTTGAAGTTGAAGAACAGGAATGATTTAGAACTCTAAATAAAGGACTCTAAATCCACCACTAGTGAGGTGAAAATTAAAAAAAAAAAAACCCAAGGCACAACATACACTGTGATAATGGGTGGGGACCCACTACCACATCATTAATGCTTGCTCTAATTAGAGCTCCTAAACATTTTTCTTAGAAGAAAGTGCACCACAAAAACCAATCCAATACGTCATGACCAAATCAGATCACACAGTAAGTGCCAATTTTTTACTACAAAATTTTTATTTAATTAAATTTTGATATGAAAAAATAATTAATGCCCACAAAGGCCCCTTTTGGGAAGTGGGTTATAATCTACTTTTCAGATTATAACTCACTTCCTCTCTCACAAAAAAACTGTTTATAAACAGCTTTTAACCAAAAAATTTATTATAATCATCTTCATAAAATAGTCCAAAATTGGGTGTGGCTACCCGATATATAACAAGATGTGACTTAGGAATTGTTTAAGATGATCTAAATAAGTGTATTTTTTGTCTTTTTATGAAAAAATGTGTAAAAAAATAAAAAGATGATTTGATAGAAAAAAGATAAAAATATGAATTATTTAAAAGATCCCAAACCACCCCTTAGATTTCTTGATGACATGAACCTAAAATATGCGCGCACCTGCTTAAGGTAACCTTCGCACTTGAAATCTCTTTTTTTATAATTTAGGATAGCCCAAAATTGGGTGTGGCTACCCAATATATAACAAGATGTGACTTAGAAATTGTTTAAGATGATCTAAATAAGTGTACTTCTTATTTTTTTATGAAAAAATGTATAAAAAAATAAAAAGATTTGATAGAAAACAAATAAAAAGATGAATTATTTAAAGGATCCCAAATCACCCCTTAGATTTCTTGATGACATGAACCTAAAATATGCACGCACTTGCTTAAGGTAACCTTGGCACCTAAAATCTCTTTTTTTATAATTTAGGATAGCCCAAAATTGGGTGTGGCTACCCGATATATAACAAGATGTGACTTAGGAATTGTTTAAGATGATCTAGATAAATATATTTTTTGTCTTTTTATGAAAAATGTGTAAAAAAATAAAAAATAATTTAACAAAAAAAGATAAAAAGATGAATTATTTAAAAGATCCCAAACCACCCCTTAGATTTCTTTGATGACATGAACCCTTAGATTTCTTTATGACATGAGCCTAAAATATGTGCACACCTGCTTAAGGTAACCTTGGCATTTGAAATCTCTTTTTTCATAATTTAGGTTAGGTTTGACAATTTTAAAAAAAGTTAAAAAATTGCTATTCTATTTAAATCACGTTGTCTCTTTATCACATCACTTTAAACCCAACTCATATTTAATAAAAAATCAAAAAATATATTTATTTAGAACATTCCAAACAATCTTAGTTTAGTAAACCACCAAAGATCCTCTAGAGTATTTTTTTCCTAAAATTTTCTAGATGTGACTTGTCATTAAATCTCAACCACACAATACACCACTCTAAAAAATTAACCACACAATACACCACTTTAAAAAATTTGAAGAAAAAAAAACTCTAGACGATCCTTAGTCTTAGTAAACTACACGGACCGTTGATCATTAAGTTGAAAAGACTACTACAAAGTTCTTATTGAATCTGATTCAGCTACAAAGTTCTCTAATTAAACTACACGGACCGTTGATCATTAAGTTGAAAAGACTACTACAAAGTTCTTATTGAATCTGATTCAGCTACAAAGTTCTCTAATTGAAGACCTGCCTAGCTGGACTTTACTTCATTTCCTATGTACCCAAACAATAAAAAGAAGAATTAAAACCAATTAAAACAGCTCTGACAAAGAAATATCCATTCAATAAAGGATCATGAAAACAAAACAAAATTAGAATGTTTCCAACAAGCCATGTTTGCAAGTGGACATCCAAAATCTGATTGAAACACAATATAGGGCCAAAAAAAAATTAACAAAATTAATAAAGCCAGCATCCCTAAAATTTCTTTAAGCACTCTTATCAGCCTTGGCAGCAGTAGCAGCAGCTTGTCCACGAAGACGACCAGTCCTCCTGGCAGCAATAAGACCAACCTTTTGCCCAGGTGGAGCATCGCGCCGAACTGTACTGGCATGACCAATATGTTGATGGTTACCACCACCATGAGGATGCTCCACGGGGTTCATAGCTACACCACGAACCTTAGGCCATGAATTCCTTTTGACTCGGTACTTGTGATATGCATTACCAGCCTTGAGCATGGGCTTCTCTGTACGTCCTCCTCCAGCAACCTGACCAATCATGGCACGACACCCACTAGGCACAATCTTTTTGGCCCCTGATGGGAGTTTGATCCTATCAATAGCACAATGTATGAGAATAAATCATCAGTTCCACATATTCAAACCAAATAGACAAGAACAATAAACATAACTAACCCATTTTGTGTATTAAAAAAAGTCGGGTATAATCGAATACAGAAATGCAATGCTATGCTATCCTACTGTCTCCAAAACTTCAAAATACGTAACATAACCAAAAGCTAAGAAGCATGGACACGGACACGTGACACGACACGGACACGACGACACGCTAATTTTCAAAAAATGCAGGACACGACACGTGGGGGACACGCATGAAATATATAATTTTATATATTTATTATATGTTATATATATGAATATATCATTCAAAGATAATAAAAATATTAAATATGACAATAATTCTTATGAATTTATATGATTTTTTTTTTATTATTGTATCTTAAGTTGTTTTGTTCAAACTTATAATTGGTTTCACATGTGTCTAATTGATAGATATGTGTGTTTAAGAGATACACATGTATTCTTCAAAGTGTCCAAAAAGTGTCCGGGTCTTTAAAAAATAGGACACGTTTTAAAGAGTGTCGGACACGTGTCGGGAAAGTATCCAAAGAGTGTCGGTGTCCGACACGGATACGACACGGATACGTTACCTTCTTAGAAGTATCCGTGCTTCTTAGACCAAAAGTGATAACCCCCTCCACCGTGAATATATAAAAAATTTCAACATTGAAGGCATGAAAGACTCTGAATTGGGACTATTACTCCCAACCTGACTAATGGTGCAACAGTAACCAAAATAAAAAGATTGCATTGCATCAATGAATTTCAAATGATAAACACTTAATCCATAGATAACGTTTAAAAAAAGGCAAATTACACAAATAGTCCCTATAGTTTGAGACTTGTGTTCCTTTCTGTATTTTGAATCTTTGATCCAAATAAACACAATTGAATATATAATTAAATTTTTCAAGTGCAAAATTGTCAATTTGATAAAATATAAATTAATCTGACAAAAATAAATGTCAAACAAATATTTTTGAATTTAAAAAAATTATTTCTACCTATTAAAAATAAAATTATGTAAAATTAATAAATCTTTTAGACATTTATTTTTTTTTTCAAATTAATTTTTATTATGTATTTGGATGATGATCATATAAAATTAATTTAAAAAAATTAATCATGTAATTTTTATTAATTTTACATAATTTTATCATTGGTGGATAAAAATAATTTTTAAAAGATTAAAAATATTTTTTTGACATTTATTTTTGTCAAATTAGTTTATATTTTATCAAATTGATGATTTTATCCTTGAAAAATCTAATAATATTTTCAATTGTCCTTATTTAGAACAAAATTCAAAATTCAGGATCAAACATGCCGCAATTGAAAAATCAAAGACCAAAAAATTCCAAATTATAAGAACTATTAAGTCTAATTAACCCTTTAAAAAACAAGCTCTACTATAACAAAACCTCCAATGCTCAATGTTTCTATATAGCATGGGCTAAAAAGTCACGACTTTTGACTTTTTTTGAATTTTTGTAAAGAAAAGAATGTAATAATTATAAATTAGATGTGATGTTTTGCCTTATTAAACTAAAAATCTTATTTTATCTTTTTGTTGAAATATTCCCAAACCCGACCCGACCGGACCCTTCTTCCAAAGGCAGCCATATACCAAAAAAAACCCAGATTCATATTAAGTGTCAGATCAATTACACTCTCACTGAACTACAACTTTTCAGTATTTAATCTATCAAAAGCTATACACAACAGTAAAGATTTGAATGCTTTATTATGGGTGGAATTGAGGCGATTAGGTCAAAATAGTTATTTCAAATCCTTAAAACCAAGGGATTCTGGTAAAATATCTCAATTTTAAGTCATCACTTTATGTGCATATTAAAACCCTAAATCCGTTAACTTCAAAGCCATTTACCGAATTCACAAAGCAGACAGAAATCGAGTAATCAAATATTAATGAATCAGATGAATTCGCACTAAAACAAACAAACAATCAGAATACCTAGAGGTACCATTATCAGGGTTATGACTGATAACGATGGCGTAATCACCAGAAGCTCTAGCCAAAACACCACGATCACCGACATGGTGTTCAACGTTACAGACAACAGCACCTTCGGGGATAGATCTGAGGGGGAGGACATTGCCGACCATGAGATTGGCCTTCTTGCCGCAAAATACGAACTGGCCGGTGTACATGCCCTCGGCGGCGATGAATAGCTCCTTCTGGTGCTTGAAACGGAATGGGTGCCGGAAAGTGACACGTGCAAGAGGGGCGCCGCGACCTGGATCGTGGATGATCTCGGTGATCACGCCCTTCAGGTACCCGTTGCGCTCACCGAAGTCCAGGCTGCGGAACCGAGCCGGACCCTTGCGGTGGTGGGTGTGGGACTTGAATACCGACCCAGCACCCTTACGCTGAGCTCTGATCACTCGACCCATCTCTCTCTCTCTCTCTCTCTCTCTCTCTCTCTCTGTGCCTGGACTAGGGTTTGGGCCGGCAGGAGGATAGAATAGGGAAAAGAAGAGAGTGAATATTTTAGAGTGATCAGGGTTGCCCTAGGTTGTGTTTGGGTATTAGGAAATTCTTATCTGGGATTGTGTTTGGTTAAAATTGTGTCGGGATTTACACGCTCTAATGCAGGATATCTCTATCGTATGGGTTCTGTCTGTTTGCCGTTTTTCCTTAAATTGAAAATTTATAATAAATATAAATATATATATATATATATATAAATTAGAACATCTCTAATTCTGACTGTTTTTCTCATCAAATTTAAACAACAATTTTGTTAAAAACTTAATTTGATAGGGAAAATACCAATCCTTATTATTTTCCTTTTTATCAATTCTTTTTGAAAAAATTCCCAATCTAATAAATCAAAAGAAAGTTTTCAAATTGCAAGCAAAGCAGTATAATTTCAGATTGTGTAGTTTAAAATAAAAAGACATTATTCTAATAATATTTTACTTTAATTTTAAAATTGGAGATTGCAGTTGTTGGTGAAAATACCAAAAAAAATATATTTTATTGATAAATAATACAAAGAAAATGAGATATGAATAGATCAGATTGAGGTACGGATATCTCGTTAAGGATATCAAGCCCGCTACGGTAGAAAGAACCCAAATACCGATGCCGCAGTTACTAAACTATGACTTGTCCCCTCCAGGATACAACAGTCCGACTACTTGTTGTATAGTTCAGACCAACTCTACACAAGATGGTGAATCCAAATCTTCACCAAGAAAACACATTTCATTGGTTAGTAATTTCTTAAGTATAGAAAAATAGTTGGTGTAGAAAGGAGTAGATGAAATTAACTATTTATAGGCCACTAGGACCTTACAATTTACACCAAAAAAAAAAAAAAGACCATTAACTCACCACTTAGTTTATGAACTTCCAATTAATCTTCATTCATGAACAAGATAAAAAGTCACTAAATAACAATGAATCTCTATTCACCAAACAAAATGAAATTCATGAATAAGACAAAATAAGATTTATGAATAAGACCAAAAAAGTCACACCAAAAAAAAAAAAAATATTAAAATGGTCCAACAATCCGCCACTCATTTTAATATCAACAAGGACAAGAGATATTACCAACCAAAGATAGATAATATGCATCATGAAGGTGTGCTCTGCATTGAACCTTCATTAGTGAAACAGCAACCTCTACTTCAGAGTCAGTAGTAGTCTCAGACTTGAACTATAACTACTTAGGGGAAATAAAGTATTACTGCTCACACAAAATAATCCGGGTATTGACATGAGCTTTTAATAGCCAGCACATTACGACATTATATCTATCCCAGTTTTCATGAGCATATTTAACAATAAGCCTTGTTCTCATAGAAAGCGACCCCACTTCCATGCTCACATAGGTGAAATCTGTCAAGGATGTTCTTGTAATTTACATACCCCACTCAATAAGAGCTACAAAATTTCATTAAGAATATAAAAACTCAACCATCCGACATTACAGGACAAATACACTTACATTATAGAGATGGACAACAAAATATTAAAGAGTGCATTTTTTGCAACCACTATATGATTCGTTCTTCCCATTGAACCAAGTTACAGGATCTCTGGTCCCCAGGTTGGGTGTCCTCATACATGGTTTATGATTTTATAGGCTCTAAACCTATCCCCCTCAATGTATTCCAGACCCTATCTCTCGCCAAGGCCTTGGTTAACGGATCCGCAAGATTATCACAAAATTTTACATAATTCACAGTTATGATGCCATTACTCAAATAGGATCTCACATTACTGTGTTTCCTTCAAATAGGTCTGGATTTACCATTATAAAAATGGTTGTTCACTCTACCAATAGTAGTAGTGCTATCACAACGAATTAAAACATGAGGAATTGGTTTTTCCCAAAAAGGGATTTCATGTTACAAATCTCTCAACCAATTCATTTCCTCACATGCTGAAGCTAACGCTATAAGCTCAGCTTCCATTGTAGAATTAGCAATTATAGTTTGTTTTTTAGACTTCCAACATATAGCACCACTACCCCAAGGTAAAAATAAAACCCGAAGTTGAGAGAGAATCACCTGACAAAGTATTCCAATCGGTATCGCTATATCCCTAAAGTACCGCAGGATACTTGTTATAAAATAAACCATAATTTTTTGTACCAAATAGATATCACATAGTTCTTCCCATGGCTAGCCAATGATCTCGACTTGGTTTGCTAGTAAACCTGCTAAGTACTCCAACAGCATATGCAATGTCAGATCTAGTACAATCAGTAGCATATCTCAAACTACCAATCATGCTAGCATATTCCTTTTGATTAATCACTTCTTTTTCATTTGTTACAACAGATAAATGTATGCTTGCATCAAAAGGAGTAGCAACATGTTTACAGTCTAGAAAGTTATATTTCTTTAAAAAATTTTCAACATAATGCGAATGATCAAGAAAAATGCCATCATTAGTCTTGGTAATTTTAATTCCCAAAATAAAATTGAGTTCACCAAGATCTTTCATATCAAAATGACTATTAAGCATATTTTTAATCTCATTTATAATATTTTTAATCCACATATAGGCTAATAATCACATGTGCATTCTCACAAGTTTTATAATATATGCACTTATCACATTCATTAGTCTTATAGTCATTCTCAAGCATGCAGGAATCAAATTTCTCATGCCACTACTTAGGAGCTTGTTTTAAACCATAAAGGGATTTAGTTAGCTTACATACTTTACTTTCTTGGCCAGGCTTCACAAAGCCCTCGGGTTGGTCCATGTAAATCTCCTCATCTAGATCTCCATTTAAAAAAGTTGTTTTCACATCCATTTGATGAATTTTTAAATCATGAATTGCAGTCACTATTATCAACAGTCTAATGGATGTAACTCTAGTAACCGGAGAAAAAGTATCAAAGAAATTAAGATCAACTTGTTGCTTAAAACCTTTAGCGACAAGCCTCGCTTTATATTTATCTATAGTTCCATCCGGTTTAAGTTTTTTACGAAGGACTCATTTACACCCAATAGTTTAGAACCTGGAGGTAAATCCACTAGCTTCCATGTTTTATTTGAAAGTAATGAATCTATCTCATCACTTACAGTCTCTCTCTAAAAAATAGCATCAGGTGATAATAAAGTTTCTTGCACCGTAAGATGAATTTCTTCCACATTGTAAATGTTAGGTCCCTTAGTTTTATCAATTTTTACGAACAAACATTGTTTATTGAATTGTAATTTTCTTGGTTATTTTGCCTTGCTCGCTCGAGTGAAGAAGTCCTGCTCCTAGAATTTGTCTATGTCTGCAAATATTCTAGGAAGGAAGATTGTGCGCTCGATCGAAGGAAGCTTGGCTCGAGCAACGCCACTTAAGGAAAACACGCATATTTGGTTCCTCGCTCGAGCGACTTTCGCTGCCTCTGTTTTCTATAAGTATTTGTTTAAGTCAGTTTTAAGGTAATGTTTTTTAGATCTTCTTTGAGGGATTTAGGGTTTTTTTGGGAGGGGGCAGTTTTGCTAGTTTTCCTCGATGTTTGATTGAGTATTAAACTCTTGTTTTGATAAGCACACATCAAGGAGTTTGATTGTTCATCTTTAAGAGAGTTCTTTTTTGGTGGAATCCGAAGATTCAAGCGCGGAGTAGTCAAAGGAGTTTTATGTTGTGCGCAGTCGTTGATTCAACAATGGATGTTGTGGATTCAACATCAATCTGATCAATTCCGAGACGAAGGTTGCAGTGAAAGATATACAGATTGTTAAAGACAAATTGACTTCATTTGGGTAATTTGTTTGGTATATTTGTAATCTTTCTTTCTTCAGTAGTGGATTGATTTGTAGCGTTTCGCCCGTGATTTTTTAATCACAATTGGAGATAATCCAATTGTGGTTTTTTTCCACGTAAAAATTGCTTGTGTCGATTTATTATTTTTGAAGCGACAATCTAAATCATCTAATCTAAATCATTTTCGTATGTGCTAGATGATTTAGATTGTTAGTTTTAATCGTTTGGGAATTGGTATAATTAAATCTTGATCTAATCACGAATCACTTAGGTTTTTCAATTGGTATCAAAGCAGATCACTCTTTGTTTTATTAAAACAATAGGAGTGTGATTTTATGTGATTGGTGATATGGATTCAATTCATGAAGGTAACTCGACCCATAGACCTTCGTTACTTGATGGTACAAACTATTCTTATTGGAAAGCTCGTATGAGAGCGTTTTTAAAATCTATCGATGAGAAAGTTTGGCATTGTATGATCTATGAGTGGAGTGAACCTGTTGTCACCATTGATGGTGTTTATAATCCCAAACCTCTTGATAAATGGGACACATTCGATTATCAAAATTCGAGTTGGAACAGTAAGGCTCTCAAATCCCTCTTTTGCTCCGTCACACCAGAAGAGTTTCGTCGTATTTGTACTTGTGAGGTAGCAGAAGAGGCTTGGGATATTCTTGAAACTATTCACGAGGGTACTACTTCTGTTAAAAGGTCAAAACTTTCACATCTCACCTCCGCTTTTGAAACTGTTTTTATACGTGATGATGAGACGTTTGATGATTTTTATGCTAAACTTAGTGACATCATGAATTCCTATTTCACACGTGGTGAAAAAATTCCTAAAGCTAAGGTTGTTAGAAAAATTTTGAGGTCTTTACCCGAGAGGTTCCAATCAAAAGTTACAACTATTGAGGAGGCTTAGGATGTTGATACCCTTAAGCTTGATTAGTTGGTTAAAAACCTGCAGACTTATGAAGCCCACCAGATTTCTAAGAAAAAACAAAAAGATAGTGTGGCTTTCACTAGTGCTCATGAGACTGCAAAGACCCCTGAGATTGAATTTGATCTAGAGTCCGAGATGACGGCTATGTTTACTAAACAGTTCAAAAAAAAAATTAAAGAAAAAGAAGCCTAATTTCAAGGATCCTATTTCAAAATATAAGAGTAATGAAAAATCCAAAACTTTTCCACCAAAAATTGCTCCAAAAACTGAAAAGAAGACTGTGAAGGGGCAAGGGGTCAAGTATTACGAATGTCAAAGGTTTGG